TTCCAAGTGGGATACCACTCGCCCCGAGCCTCCCAAAAGTCTCTCTTGGCTGTCGGCGAGTTGTCGTACCATGGCTTCCCAGACTTGCCATCCTCGAACCAACCATTGGTGGCACCGACAGCAAGGTTGAGGATCAGATAGAACTCCTGATCAAATGGTGCATTGAGCTCGCCTGAGGCGGACCAGGGGTCAGTGAGTCGAGTGCCGTTCTGGTCGACGTCGGGAAACCCGCCACGCTTCCACATGGACTTTTTGAAGTTGGTGTAGGTGACCTGGAGCAGGCGGGTGTTGACGTAGGTAAACAAGTACTTTTGGGACCACTCTAGACCAAACATGTTGAAGCCAGCACTGTACGTAGTGTGAAGGGCCTTTCGCTTGTTATTGGTCTTCCACCAACCATCGTTGGCAGAGTTGGGGCCCCAGTGCAAGGCAGAACCGACAATATCGTTTCCACCTTGAGCGTATGTCCAGTTGTTTCCACGCGACTCAATGATGTCGATCTCACCGGATCTAGGCCAAGGGCCGTAAGTGCTCTTGACGGGCAACATCCAGATGGCAGGCCACAGCCAGTCGCCTTCAGGAAGCTTGGCTGTCACTTCAATCCGGCCGTACTTGATGGTGGCTCCCTTCTTGGTGTTGATGCGACCAGACCTGACTGGCGGGACGACACTGTTGTTTCCCGCAGTCAAGTTGGTTGAAGCAATACAATTCGACCAGACCTTGGAAGTACAGCTGCCGTCCTTGAAGAGGTTGATGACGTTGTTCTTTTCCATCAACTTTGCATCCTGTAGAGTGGCCTTGATGATGAGGTTACCGTTGTCGACATAGACATTCTCATCGGTGTTGGTTGTTTGCTCGAACTGGCCGTTACTACAAAGGTCAGTACGATTATATGTACCAAGGATGGAGAGAATAAAACTTACCCATATCCGCCAACTTCAACTTCCTTGGTCCAGATCTTTGAATCCAAGCCTCCACTAAAGTCCTCATCCAAGACAGGGCAGTAAGTATTTTTCACAACACTTCTTATGCCGTCCCAGACGAGAAACCCAGAGCCGACAAGGCCGATAAAGATGGCCAGGATGGGAAGAATGGTCACCCATTTCTCCTTGGGGTTGGTCTTTTCCAGCCATGGCTTCTCAATTTCACCAGGCTTGACTCTTCGTGAATGGAAGTGCCGGTTCCGGTCCTCAAAGTGTGTCCCGGAACCATTGGAAGACTCATAGTCGGAGGGAGGGCGTGAAAACTCGGGGATGCTAAACATTCCCGCGTTTCCCGCCGAACCTGGTCCGCGAACAGGCTCGATGCTGTGACGGAGGCCACTGTTTGGTGGCTCTGGGTGAGCTGAATGAGCATTGGAGTCGACAGACATGGTTCGTGAAATGTCTGCCGGACCGGGACCAGCCCCGTCATGATCTTGGCTGTTTTGTCGATACTGGCTCATGGTGGAAGGAGTGTTGGCCAGAAAACGTATCCCCAAGCAAACGAGGCTAGAGAATGAGGGTGGAAAAGTCCAACTCCGTCCTAGCGAGAACTCAAGGCCAGTTCCCAAGATGCTCTCTAGAGATTGACAACAGGGCAGAGGCCAGAACGATCGACTCTTGTTTATCAAACTCGCGGAAACTGTGAAAAACAGGGCATAAGAAGAGATAAAAAAGACGATGAAATGTCAGGCGGTTCAACGGCAGCTGGAAAGTCAGGTCCCGCCCATGGTTTTGATCAAGGCCATGGTCAACCCGATTCGATCTAACGCCGGACTCAGCCGAGCTACGATCTAGACAGTGCGTGAGAATGGAACAGAGTTGATGGAGGCTGAAGGACCCATGAGTGACGAGCCGAAGATGGCCAAAGGCGGATGAGAGCGTGGTTGCCAGGGAGAGGTCTGATCGTGACGTGGCTAGCGGCACAGTGCTATTCGTACACACCAGCCATCGTTTCAGCGCGCTTAGCATCAAATTCCACCAGGACCTGGCATTTAAATACAGTGCTCGGGATATACGACACTGTACACCCTTGCCAGTTCATCAATTCCAAAAACTCAAGCCACACCATTCCAGCAACTCTCCTCCATCATCACCAATCTCGATAATGTCTCAGGCCCTGCTCGCAACCGTCGATGACTAAGTTTACATGAGCCAGCTCTTCCGAGCGCTAGTCGGCGGCCAGACCCCCATAGTCTCCGTTCCGGTCCTGCCCATGACTCCAACACCGTCTTGTCGAGACCCATCGCCGAGGTCACCAATGAAGCAGCACTCGTCTCCCTTGACAATACCGGCATTTCTGTCACGGACCATACCGAGGACCTGACTTGGTCATCCCTTACTCTCGAGCCTGGGCAATGATTCAAGCTCTCCGGAGGTGAGGGCTATACTTGAATCAGAATCGTCCCTTGCTAGGCCACAAGAGCATCACCGGCGTCGATTTATCTCCAGCTAGACGAAATAGGATCCCAAGGCCTTCATTTTTGATTACTATTCACGCGGCTCAGCGACCAAATCGTCGTGTCCCTCCAAATTCCCACTTACCCTGGCCTCACCAACCTGCCAGGCTTCACAGAAGTGGCGATAGCATCGACAGGAACAAGCTCAACGTGGCTGAAGAGACATGATCACGCCCCTTCCGCTACCTTCAGGGCCCTGAACCTTGATTTACTTTAGGTACACGCCCTGGAGATCTCAGGAACCGCGGCTTGATCACCCGCGACAAGGGCTCGCCACTTGATCAGTCAGTCTCCTGGCCCGTGGAACTTGGCCGCTCGATATGCGCTTGTTTAGTCACTCACTCAGCATCTCGTATCTTTACTGGGCTGACTGTTTATCCAGATGGCGAATAGCATCATCTTTGCCGTCACAGAATGGGCAATGTCGGTAACCAGGAGCTTTTCACCACCGATCCTACAAACTGTCAACGGTTATCCCTTACCTTTTGAAGGTATCGTTGTTCGCCGCCTCTACGCTCAAACCAGCCCATCACTAGAAATTGCCATGGATATCTACTGGGCAGTGAACGTGACGGTATGATCACCGTTGCGCTCAGGCCCAGTGCAGCCGACCAATGCCTCTCCAACCATATTATCACCTCAAATGACGATACAGCGGCATTCCCGTGTTGCTACTGAAAAATTGGACCTTGCCGAGGTCTTGGCATAGAAGTGTTGGAAGCTCAATTGCGTACTTTGCATTTGTTCATCATGCTCTTTAGAGTTTACCCCTAAAGGCCATCTGCGGATTTGATCGAGGAGAATGACAAGGCGATGCCTGCCTACCAAAATCTAACAGAGGCGACAGTCCTGGGTGCCTTGAGACCGACGAAGAGTATTTCAACTATTTGATCGACAACAGAGAATCAAACCTAGAATGCCAAGACGAGCTTCTGGATGTCTCGGGACGCTCAGCACAAAGTCAATCTCACAAGTGGCCCAGGGGGAGAAACGAGGACGACCGCCTCTCTTCTTCCTCATGAAGACTTGTGACAATTTGATTCGTTGTCAGTGAGACATGACGACTGTTCATTGCGGACACGCGTTGCCCGCAGATGGCAGTGTGGATAGCCATTGCATACCATCGACATGAACCGAGTGTCTGGACCTGGCACTGGCGCCACAAGCGTGGCCGACTCCCTAGGAACATCAGAGATCAACCGGATTGAACCAGTATTTGAGCTTATCGGGCAGCCTCCTTTTCCACCTCGGGAACATTTGCGGGCTGAGAAATGTCTCGGACCATTGGCCATGTGCCATGGCAAGGGTTCAAACTGCACGTTGCCCTGGTCTCCAGCTGCCGCACCTACCGATGGCTTCAGCTTGGAGTGGCAGACATACAAGGTTATGCCATGGCTTCATCCGGCGTTGAAGACCCCTACCGAGATGGCTGTCCAACGATCCATCTCTATTCTCAGCATTCAGGCACCAGGGGAAGGAGAGTCATGAATGCCCAAAGCCAAATGTCAGCATCGCTGCCATGGCGAAAAGAGATGCAGAGCTTAACAGTTGGCTTAGATTTCAAACATATCATTGACGGAACAGATCAAGATACGAACTATTAGGAAAGGATGACTGCAGCTGCAAGTGCAGTTCATGAGAGTCACTAAACACTCTCTCTTGAGCTCATCCCCCTCCAGAGGCTCTGTTAATGGAGATGGGAAATCCTTAGCCATCCCTCTCTCGATATGACGAGTCCCCTCCATTTTCAAGTCGATCACATATCGACATGGCGCACTCTTCAAAGGAATTACGGCCCAAGTAGAGCTAAGAGGTGACGAAAGGTGTGGCTCGTGCCCCAGTTTCGTGAGTCCCAATCCGGGGATCTAGACCACAGATATCCTTGACACACGCGCCCACTAACAGGGTTCAGGGTTCGAGGCTCGGATGCTCCGCCGATCTGACAGATGCTACGAACGACACCTCCAAGTGCGGCCACAGTCACACCCCTTTCACGGATCCGGAGGCTTGGCGGCGCATTTGGGTTCACCGTGGGGCGTTGGAGTTGGATGCTCGCTTTCATCGACAATAGCGGCAGCTTACACTTCGCCATGTGCCCAGCAGACTCTCTGACTGGTCCACAGCTTGGAAAACGGGGTGTCCGAGAGTTCTCGCCCAAGTATGAGATGGTGGAGCTTTGCTGGTGAGGGAAGGAGGGTTCCCATGGCCTCGTCTGTGGGAATACTAATTAAACGCGGCCGGTAGACCGTTTTCCTCGCCCTTTCACTTTTGCGTTGATCACGCTGCATTTTGCGCCTTTCTCTCCTTTGGTCTTACTGCGATTGACGCATTGTTATTGCGTCTGACACTCTCTTCATCTTGACAAGGTCAAGTTTCGTGGTAGACAACTCGGTGCATCAGTCCACTACACTCCCTCCCCTTGCCCTTGAACGGCATACAAGAACACCAGTCTTTCCTGCGTCTGCTATCTATATACAAGTCGACACGATCGTTATATTATCGGCCTTGATCGACACCCTGAACCATGTTGTGGTCTAAGATTCTTGTTGGCTTTGCCAGCATGGTAGCCTGTGCGGAAGCAGCCAAAGACTTGGGAACTGTCTTGCGAAATCACCCAAAGCTTACCAGCTACTACAAGTTGATCCAGGTTGGTCATTCCCTGTTCAAGTTGGAATGCCCATGCTGACAAGGCTCCTAGAAATACCCCGAGATCTTGATGCAATTACCCAGTTATAAGGGCGTGACGGTACATCTCAGCCACAACATCTTTTCCCCTGCATTTGCTAATTCATGGTAGATTGTGGCGCCTTCAGATTACGCCTTCACTCAGATCCCGTATTCAGCACTTTCAAATATCTGGAATCCTGAACACAAAAACACGACTGTTCCTCTGCTCCAATATCACATCCTCCAGGGGACCATCAACACTGGGGACCTCAAAGCCGGCCCTGCCTATGTCAAGCCTACACTCCTTAAGGATCCTACATGGGCCAATGTCACAAACGGTCAGAATATCCTCATTACAAAGCAACCGGATGTGGTGGTCTTTAGCACAAGACTTGGCAGTCGAGCCACGGTCGTCAACAACGATATTGAGTTTGAGGGTGGTCTCATCCAAATCGTCGACAGTGTGCTTGTACCTCCCTCTGGGATCGGCCAGGTCTTGACGGCGAGCCAAGTGCAATCCTTCCTCGGCGGCTTGTACGACTCCAGGATCATGCCCGCTCTCGACGGCGTCAAGGACATCACCGTCTTTGCTCCCAGGGACCAAGCCATGGAAGCCATTGGAGGAACTCTTGCCAATATGAGTTTGAGCCAGCTGGCCGAGGTCATGGGCTACCACATTGTCCGTGGCAAGGTGCTAGTGTCTACGGATCTCAGAAATGCCAAATCTCTCAAGACAATAAGCCAGGGCAAAAGGCTGCAAATCCGTCAAATCGGCAACGAGATGTTTGTCAACTCGGCCAAGATCATCTCAACCGACATCCTCATCTCCAACGGCATTCTACACATCATCACCAACGTCAACAACCCTAATGACGCGGATGCAGTGCCGAATCCCAACCTCTGGGCGCAGACTCCTGTCTTCCGCAACAGCCACGTCGACAACGTGTTCCAGACGGCCATACCCTGCACTACGCTCTGCATAACCGACCTTCACATGACGCCCAAGGCGACGGCGACAAAGGAAAATGTAGACGCGGCTGCCATGACACCCGACTCCATGTACACAACGAGGAGCAAGGGAATGGCTCCAGCGCGGGCTACGGCGCATGTGGCTCGGGCTGCTCTGGGCATGATGGGCATAGGTGCGGGAATGGCTCTCTTGTGATGATATTTCTGGGTTTCTTGTATTTCCTCTAGCTTTGGTGGTTCAGGTCCGGCTCATTTCCCTTCTTTCTTTTTACACTTGTAGGACTAGTATCCATAGATTCGCAGTCGCAATACCCATCGTTTGATAGACACTGTGACGCTACATATCGTGCACGTAGGCTCTAGGGTTAGAGTGCGCTGCCAGTCATTGATTCGTACGTAGGAGCACATGTTAGATGCTCCAACTTGGATATTTCGCGCGCTCATATTATATCTTGGCGCATCCAAGTATTGAACAAATAATAAGACGGGACTTTTATAAACCCAAGCATGATATTTCAAGAAATTAGGATTTCCTTTCTACCCTTGAAAGGTTTCTTCTACTCTCAGATTCGACATGATATGATATGATACGAGATGCTAATGAAGGTTAGTAGGTTGCCAAGCATAACCAGCCTCAGCGGCAACAGATGCCAAAAAAAGACAAACTTGGCCAGACTCGTTCATTCATGTTCTATGACCATGTCGGATAACGATAGCCGAGTAGCCGGTCATATGTGAAACAGACCAAAAAGAATCCTCATGTGAAGCAGCCCACACGCACGCACGCATCGGCAGCGCTTTGGTCCGTGCTAACACATGGGGAGAAGGAATAAGCAATTATTACCAACTCTGTAATTTCCCTATTCCGATTCCGATTGAGGCAAGTCACTTCCGAAAGGTTTTTTTTTTTTACTTATTTCTTTCTATTTATTTCTAGTAATCAGGCAAGTCATGACAAAAAGAGTAAACCTGGTTCCCCGCGTAGACAGGATCTTTTGTCCTAGCCTCGGCCAGAACGGAAGAAATCATGATTCAAGCAGGTACATGTATATGCTTGTGATCCAAGGACCAACCTGATTCACCGGGAGACCTTCCGAACCTGTCCTATGGACGGATATCAAGGTCCCAGCTTGGCGCAAGGGTGTCAGTCTAGGGTAGTTGGGACTCACTTATCCCTGGTTTGTGGGGTATCTAAACCAACCGGCAGGCAGGATGGCAGGATGGCTCTTGGTATCAGGAGGGAATAATAGCACGGTCTAAGGAGAGGAACAGGGGGTGGTCATGTAAGTGGACCAGAAGAGAATAGGAAAAACAATAGGCCTGAGCTTCTTCCTCCGAGCCAGTTGCCGAGAGAGGAAATTGGTGAGGGTCTCAAGGATGAAAGCTTGGATATGGTATGTAGCTATATCTGCCTGTGCCGCCGGAGGACGGAGAACAGACGGAGAAGGGAGTGGGATGGGTACGGGTACGGGACGGACGGGGCAATCAATAAGAGTTACCCGCCGCCTGAGCTTGTGCTTGTGTCTGTGTCTGTGCCTGTGTTTCGTAATAGGCAAGTCAAAGTGTCCAATACCTAGGCCGCCTTTGGTCATTATCACACAATACACAGCCCGAGAGTGCCAAAAACGGTCCCGCATGTTTCCACACTCTTTTTCTTGAGGCCTCCCTAAACGGGCGATAGGGTTTCATGTAATGTCATGTACTATAATGAGTGCCCAGCTGAGCTGAAAGTAGAGTATCAATCGGTAAAGAAAAGAAAAAAACACATGCACACGATATATCCGGTGTTGCAATAGTCATGACCTGATGCCCTCCCCCTCCATATCCAGTTCCCCCCTCCCATAAAACTCCAGCCGCCGCCTATCGAAAAAGGACCTGTCCCTCCCAGAAACAATAGAACCATATTAGATATAAGACGCCCCCCTCCCCAAACCCTGTACCTTACCCCCCTCCCGAACCCCCGATAACCCACGCCACACAGGGCAACATCTCCGTCGTTCATGCGCCAAGACCTTCAACTGGGCTTGCCGTCCGAGGGACCGACTTCCCCCCCCACAAGCGCAGTTTGCTTCCGCTTCCCCCCCAAAAATACGCAGATCTTTGTAAACCCAGGCCGTGTCCGTCGCTGCCGTTGTCGTGTGTGTGGCTCGTTCTGTGTTTGGGGGTCACATCTTCAACCCTGGCGTGATCGCCCCACGGGACATGGGAAAGCTGGGCTCCCCCTTCCCCTTCACCCCTCTCCCGCCGTTTCTTTGCCCTTTCCCACGAGGAGCACACTCTGTAGATCCCCAAGACAAAACTCCCGGGTGGCGGGACCAGGGTGTGTGTGTGTAAGGTAAGCTCCTCCTGGGGGGGCCAAGATCTTGGCTTCGAGAAAGAAGGAAACAGGATTCCTTGCCTTGCCGCTCCGCTCCGGGCAGCTGGATGAGGCTTGATCGGCCGAGAGAAGAACAAGGCAGACAGACAGACACACGCAAGATGGTGGCGGCATGAGGAGAAAGAAAAGCTCATCTCCAACAGAGTTTCCCCCCAGAGATTCGCATCCATCACAGAACCCAGCTGTGCGGAGGAGAAGGAGGCGGGTTTGGTTGTGGAGGAGGGACGCGTGGGCCTCCTGGGGGCGTAGGCGGAGGGTCAGGATCTTGGGGTTGAGCAAGACAAGTTGGTGGCAGTGGGATCCTTCGCATGTCAAGAATCATGAGTGTGCGAGGAGAGAGTATAGCAGGATCCATCAGTGTATGGTTTGATAGTCAAAGAGTAGAAATGATGAAGCGAAAAAGAGGAAAAGGACAAGGAGAGATTATATAAAGAGGTTGACACTTAGATAGACCGAGAGAGAGAGAGAGGGAAAGAGAGAGAGGGGGTGGGAAACACGGATTTGGAGAAGGCTTTGCCCGCAGGCCGTGAGGTTATATTCGTCAACGACCGTGGCTTACCCCCCTTCCCCGAGCTTCTCAGTGAATCGGTGCGTCTGTCTGCTCCAGGTACCTAATGAGGCTCACCTCTCTCTGGCTCTCGGACGGCATCCATGGCACGACATGTAGGTACTAGGATGTGGGCTGGGCTGGATTGGACTGTACAAGAGTAGAAGCTGGGTGCTTGCTCCTCACCAAACAGAGACCAAGCAGCGCAGCTCCCGTCTATCCGCCTTCCTCTACGCCGCCAGCCGCGCATGGTCATGGTGTAGCCCGCGGCACCTACATCCGCTGCCCGCCATGTATATCCCCCCAGCATCACCCATCGTCATACCCGAGGCAGTGGTTCACAGCGACGAGGACTGGGACTGGGACTGCGCCGGGCGCATCAGGTGGTCAGAGGGGGCGTAGGCGTGAGGGGAACTGAGCTGGAACGGCGAATATGTTGCCTAGATGAGTAGAGCCGAGCAGCTGGGTAGGGTTCAGGGCCTGGCCGGGGAGGTGAGGAAGCCAGTCCAAGTAAGGGAAGGCCATGTATGTCATGGGAAGGGGTTGATGCGTGAGAGGCCAAGCCAAGGCAAGGCATTGGCAGACATGACATACAGACCGATGGACGCAGCAGCAGCGCGCGCACCCGCGCTAGCTGTGACACGCCCTCGGTGATTTGAGGCTCAACTAAGAGTATAGTATCCATCCTCCTGGGAGACGCTATCCTGTGGCAGGTCTGAGAGAAGCGGGCGGCCGCGTGGAGTTCGTGTGGGTGACAGGGAGTCCGTGACGCCCAGGGCAGCCAAGCAAGAAGCGCAGAAGTGTTCACACGCACACAGCACAGCGGCAATGCTTGTGATGACTAGAGGCCGTCCGTCTGTCATCGGTCGGTCAGTAAGTCAAGTCATCCATACCTACCTTACACATACAGGCAATCAGGCTGAGATCACATCCCCCTTCCCCATCACACACACCTCACCTCGCCTCTCCAACTTGGGGTACCAAGACGCCGCATCAGTGGGGTCGTCTGTATCGATATGGTATGGCTGACAGACATGGGACTTGGCTGACCGCAGCTCACCAACATCATCATTGTCGTCCACAAACAACAAGCAGCCACACTGTCAACTTCTCGGTAGCATAACCGACTGGCACGTACTAGGATCCTCGCCAATATTTCGTGTTCCAGAACCGAGCGAGAGTGCCATGCCATGCCATGCCATGCCAGGCTGAGTGAGAGTGCCCTGCCCTCCGTCGCCGCCGAACGCCGACCGCCAACCGCCCGCCCAGCTCCATTCATCCAGGCTTCAGCCAGCAGCGGCGCCGCGCCCAGAGACAACGACAGACGATGCGCCACACACATGCCTTCGTCGTACCATGCAACAGTCCTGAAGCGGTAATACTGCGAGACCGGACGCTAAAGCCGAGAATCGACCGAGCCGTCTGTTCCCTTGGGACATCTCACAAGCTCCTTGGAAGAGGCAGAGAAGGAGAAGGGGATAGAGAGGCATTTAGAGGACGCTCAAGCAAAATATCGGGGAGATGACCCCCTGCGGCGGCCGGACGGTGAAACTTGCAACGCTGGTGGGACGAGCTAGGAGCTTTTCCCTCCTGCTGCTTGACCATCCTGGAACCCGGGCTCCCGCCATTGGCTACCATGCGGATGGATCACATGCTGGAGGAAGCTCTTGGTCGGTGGGTATGGGTAGCTGTGACGGTGGGTGGATGGATGTGAAGCCCCCCTCCTCTCCCCTCCCCAAGTCGGAAGTGTGGTGGTTGTCATTGCGTAGGGTCGGACTCGTACTCAATGAGCGGCGCTGAACTGCGCTGGAGTTGCCCGTGATGCCTTGCGCTGCGCTGCGGCGGGTGCTACGTTGTAAGACGCCCTGCTGTCGTCTCCAAGGCGCACAGTGAGCCGACACTCGCCGACAACCATGTACTCCCGAGTAGACAAGAGGCGCAAAGGTGTAAAGGTGGCGATACATGTCGCGAGATGTGCGCCAATACCATCGACTCAGCGCAGTGCTGATGGTGTCAGACCTCGTTCCGCATCGAATCTCAGCGCTCGCTTCAACACATCCACCGTGTTGGGCCTTCCCAGCTGAGCCATAGTTGGCGCCGACTCCGATGGCTCAGGCCTCTCGTCCTTTCGTGGATGGGAGGGGGCTGACGAACTGTCAAAACGGGAGTGGTGGCACACTGACAGCAGCGGGCTCCTTGAATGGTACCTCGGGCCAAGCTAGAGCATCATGCCCTGCCCGGCCGAGTCGTTTCATGGATCTTGCCTGCAAGGGCTGAGTCGCAGGATCGCCAGTTGGTGTTCAGAGGCGGCCCTCCCTCAGCCCTATAAGAGAGGGCACCCCCCTTCTCGACCAAGGGGACAAAGCTGAGCCCGTGCTGCGAGCCTAGTCGGGGTTAGCTCGACCGTCTCCTCGCGTCACCATGCTTCTAGTTGCTATTTATGCCGCGCTACCGCCGTCACTGCAAGGCGGCGGCGTCGGCTGGTGAAGGTGGGTAAAGGTTGCTGTGAGCCATCACGGAGACGCGGGAACTGCCAAGTCTAGACCCGCCAAACGTACCATGGATGCTATGCCAGTACCCATCCCCACACTAAAATGTCTCGACGGTGGACCAGGGAGTGACAAATGATAGATGCGATCTAGTTGATCCTTGAAGGCTCGATGTGCGTTCGTACAAGAAAAGAAGCTACTGCAGCTAGGCGGCGTCAGCACAGCGTCAAAGGGATAGCCATGCTGTCCTGTCCTGTCCTGTCCCGTCCCTGGAGACAAGCAGGGAAGGACAAGCATCCATATCCATCGCGGATCATCATCACCGGTGAGAGATCCACGCGGACGAGACGACTTGCCTCGACTCGTCAACAGAACCGACCGTCCCCGTCCTCCCGTTCCATTCCATTCCTTCCTTTCCTTGGCCTTGACCTCGGCTGCACCGCCGCCTGTGGCAAAAAACCCATGAACCATGAACGATAGAGCGACGTCACGCAAATCATCAACAATTGCTGCAATTTGGTACTGAATGGGGCCATTAGGTAGACTCGACTCGACTCTGCCAACCAACGCGACTGGGAAAAGGTCCGAGCTGCAATATGATGGACCAGGGTCCCGAGAACCCTCAAGGCGGCACCTCTCATCGAGTTGGTCATGCATCAATCTTGATGCGACTATATCCGTCAGCTTTGTCAACCGAGAGGAGGGTAGTTGACCACCAACTTGTTTTGGGAGCTAATTAAATCCTAGGCCCTCTTCCCTGCCCTATAATTCCTCTGTAAACGCCAATCGGAAGCCTGTCAAATACGTATGTACACTTTGTCTTGCCTTGCCGGATGTCGTCTCTCATCTGCGGCGGCTGCGAGATCGACTGCGATCACCGTGGCTACCGTAGCTGTTACGACTGTTGCTGCGGCGTCTGTCGTCGTGCTCGTCGTGGCGGCCACCGCCTCCTCGCCGTCTAGGAGCTGGGGATCTGGAGCGTGACTTGGATGAGTAAGAGTTGTTTGACCGACTACGATACCGGCTCCCACCACCTCGAGAAGGAGGTGGCCCAGCTGACGATCTCGAAGGGGAGCGCGATCCTGGGCGGTATACGTCCGACCTAGCCCCATACCGACCTCCTGGAGACATGCGACGACGACCCCCTCCGCCGCCCATACCTCCTGGGCCGCCTCCAGCACCCATACCGGGGGGGCCCCCACGCGGCCCAGCAAAGGGAACTCTGGGATCGATGTTGGCTCCACGTCGGGCGGTGGGAGGAGCCGGAGAGAGCTTGCGACGGGGAAGCACTATAGAGACGTTGATGGTCGCGCCGTCTACCTGCGCCTCATGCATGTGGGCGATGGCGGCCTCAGCATCGGCCTCGTAGTCAAAGAGGATGTATGCAGTTCCACGATTGGTGCCAACTTTACCCGGGCAATTAGTCAATGTCAAGGACCAGGGACATGGGTGCTGCAAAGACGGGGGCATTTTGTGATTATCTTACAAGTGCGATTAATGGGAAGATCCAGGTCCCTGATGCGACCGAATTGCCCGAAAATCTCGTAGAGGTGCTGTTCGTTGATGTTCTTGGACAGGCGCTCCACCACAATCTGGTCGCAAGGAGGTTAACCTCCGCTCCGGGGTGGTAATACGCCCAGGAAAAGGAGCACATACCTTGGTGCTCTTTGCGAGCGGGGAGCCACTCCGGCCTCGTTCACTGCGGTCACGACCACGGTCACGGTCACGGCCACGACTCCAGCTGCGGCTACGGCTGCGGCTCCTGTAGCGACCGTTGCGGCGCGGCGGGGATGGCGATCGAACAGGAGAACGCGAGTCATGACGGGGACGACGTTGGGGAGAACGCGAGTACTCAGAGCGCGGTGTCGGCGACCGAGTGCGAGACCGATAGCGGCCACGCGACGGCGAACGCGAAGCCATTTAGGTCGGATGTGCGAGGCCTGATGTGGTTGAGAATGAACGGGGGGTTGTCGCGTCGTGAAGTTGAACAAACTCAAAGGAAGCAACGGGTTGGCGGGCGGTGGTGGCTGTCTGGAGTTCTTGACAGGTGATCACGTGAGTGCAGCATTGACGCGACAAGTGCACCTGCCACCACAACACCCCCCAACTTAAGAGGCAAGCGTCACATATTCACGGCCTTTGTCTAAGTTAATGCAAGGATTAAATAGGTAGGTATCTAGAAAATGTGGCTTTATTCTCGATAGAAGGATTGAGTAAATAGTTAGAAAAGACTGCACGATCTGTGTGGCTTTGGGTCTTTTCCCTCCTCTTTCAAGATAATTACCCCAAAAGAAAACGAGGAAATACTCCCACAATGAATTGCTCAGGATAGCCCAAGTGCTAATGATGTTACTTGGCATCCAAGTTAGGATGCCAAATACCTGCTGCTTATCTCAAACACTTGGAACTTGCACATCGACGTAGCATTGGACAGAATCCTTCGACCTCTCTGTCATGTCCGTTCTATCTCCAGACATGGTTCAAACCAGGGCACGTTTCATGAGATCCATTTGTTTGATCTAACTACACCTTACTTCGATACCCCAGACCGTCATGCAGCATCACAACACCGCCTAAACCGAGATGTCTCCCGATCCTTTGAAGGGTGGATGCTTCTTTGTCCGTCTGCCGATCACTCCCTGAACTGTGCAACAAAGCCGACGCTCCTCCTTTGGATGAAAGAAACTCCAGCGCCACTGAAGCCCTGCAGTCTATCCCTGCCGCCATGCTCGATATCGCACTGGCCTCTTGTTGCCCTGCTTTTGAACCCATGTTCCGACAAAGACCTTGACCAGACGACGTTGACAATGCTGGATGCCTAGCTTAGACGCGGGTAGCCGAATCGGTTGCCGCTTGAACCGAAGTCATGTTGATGTCTTCGTTTCCTTGGCCGACAACATTGTCAGGGGGGCCCTGGGAGGGCTGATTGGCCTTCTTGCCCTTGATCACATCTATCACCAGCGTCGTCAGCACCGACTCCTCCTTGATCACCGACTAACATGCGGACTTACCCAAAAGCTTGATTCCGAAAGACCAACCCTTGGCGGGCTGCTGGACCTGGACCTGGCCCTGTCCTTCATTCTTCTGACGCGCCTGGCGTTTCTTCTTCGCATTGCCCTCCTCGAGGCGTGTCAGCGGGCCCCCAATGCGACGGCGCTGATCGACGCTTCGGCAGATGAAGACGGCCGAGATGAGAAGGACGAAGCAGACGACGGTCACAGTGATGAGAGCGATCTCCAGACCAGTCAGATTCCCCGCGGGCTGGGCCTCGAGGCCTGGGACGTCGGAAGTTTCAGTGGTGGCGCGGTTCTCCATCATGATCAGTCTTGATGACGACGACGGTGATGAGTTGTTGATGTGGTTTGATATCGAGGAAGAGTTCCAGCAAAGATCGAGTGATCGAAGGGATGATGAGAGCGCGAGAAGAGAAAGCTACGCAAGCCAATTAAGAGTGTTGAGCTATCTCGAGCAAAAAGGGTAATGCCAAACGAGATGATGGACGGTATTGTTTTCAAACAAGTTGAAGAAACCAAACAAGAAGTTCACCAGGACAACAACGAAGGAAAAATATGCGATACCGGGTGGGAAGCTTGACGGCTGTTGGCAGCTGGCAGGCACTGCGAGATCCATCTTGACACTGATGGCACAATTTGGGCTTTCAACTGATCATCGAGTCTTGTTAATCTATCGTGATTTTCTAGAAAGGGAACCCTGAACTTTGGTATGGCTAAAGAGTCGTGAACATGAGACTCAGCTTGCCCCGACTGGAGTCAGCCGAACCCAACATCCATTGACCAAAGCGATTGTTGTGCTGACACTTTGCAGCATGGGCTTATCATCCGCCGCCTCCATTGATTCAAACGTCTGGAATAGTCGAGTGATCAAGTATGACATTTGCGTTAGAGCAAACTGCTGGCCGATGCAGATCCGAGGCCCGCCGCTAAACGGGATATACTCCCATCTGTTTGTAAGTCAGCGTTGGTTCATTGTCAACAATGGGGACCATACTTTGCTCGGAGTGACTCCCACCTCTCGGGCTTGAACTCTTCTGCGTCGTCGCCATAGATGTCCTTACGTCGGTGAAGACTATAGCTCGACCACCGGCATGCCGTGCCTTTGGGGACAAATAGGGGGGATTGCCCATCTGGCCCACCGCCCTTGGGAAGAACTGTGTCTTTTACAGCTTCTCTCGAGTTTGTTGACACAGGAGCCCATAATCTCAAAGCTGTCGAGCAAAGTCGGTCAGTATCGTCTTGCTTGGAGCCAAAGTTAGAATAATCCTCGACATACCTTCCTTCAACACCATGTTGAGGTACTTGAGTTCCTTCAACTCTTCCCAAGTCGGCTTTCGACCATCCAGTCCCGCAATCTCGGCCCTTAGCTTCTCGACCACATCTGGCCGCCGTGCCAAAATCCAGAATAACGAGCTCATGGTGCTGGCGCTAGTGTCTCTTCCACCAAGGATCATGGCAAGTAGCTGATCTCGGACATACTCCTGCGAAGCCCCTGAGGCGAACATCTCGTTCATAAACACATAAGGCCTCTCCTTTTCCCTGCTTGAAGCAAGTGCTTCCTTCACGTAGCGGTCGATGAATCGCCTGCAGGTTGCAGCAGCCTCGTTGAGCTTTCTATCTGGCATAAGCAAAACAATCCAGCCTAAGCGAGCACGCTGCGCTGCGGAGAGGAGGGCATAGTCGAAGGAACGAGTGAAGTCAAGGGCTTCCGAAGAGGGATCCGACAAGATGTTGGTTGAGTAGCCAAACCTGCCCTCGTGGTTAGTTACACGGGTTGAAGGCGCCTCGGAGAACACTCACATAAAGTCGGTCGAGATATCCATGGTGAACATGTACAGCAACTCCTGAAGGTCTACCGCTTGTCCATCTCTCGGTATCCTATCCAGGAATGCCTCAACATGTCTGTCGGTGCACTCCAGGTCGGCAATCTGATTCCTCACAAAACTCGGTCGCATCATGGTCCTCGCATCATGCCAGGCGTGACCGTTAACCGAAAAGATGGCATTCGGCCCCAGAGCGAGCACCATAGCTGCCTGCCTCACGCCGGCAATCTGCCACGTCTCGAACTGCCCTGACAGCAGCGCCTTGACGTTCTCGGGCTCGTTTGTCATGATGATCCACGCGCCGACGTTTTTGGTCCAGAAGGTGTTGCCCAAGCTCGAGAACAGCCCATCCCAGAGCTGCAGAATCGAGTGTGACCTGATTGCCTTTGACATCTCGAGCATCCAGTCGATGCCGAGCAGCCGGTCCCGGTGGGGGTAGACGGGCGCAGGCTGGGTATCATGGACTCGCATCCAATGAAGCCAGTAGTACTTGGAGCGTAGATAAAGAATCGCGGGCGTCAGGAGCGTGACCACCCAGAGGGGATGCGGCATGGTGATGGGGACGACATGAAGGCCTGAGGGTTGCAACACAAAGTGTTCGACGAGGGTCAAGAGGATGTACAGTGAACCGAGCTGCACTAAGAGCAAGTATGTCTGCTCTTTGTATATGTTCGACATGTTGGGTGACGAGGCTGCGGCGTCGCTTGATATCAGATGCTCTAAGCTTGGAGGACCAAGGATAACAAGCCTCGAACCACGAGGGCACGCCTCACAGTTATATACGACAAGGACGGCAGTTATGCCTCGTACCTGCCAGGACTAGACAGCTGTCACATCACCGAGGCTGCAACCACAGTTTCAGTCATTCAAGCAAGGATGGCTATCATCGGGGTTCACCAATTGGGTAGAGCTGAGCATCAGCCCGTGCTACGGTACTTTTCCCCAAGCCATGACCTTGCCGCCACGGGGCGTCACTAGGATGAGAGGAGGAGGTGGTCTGGACTCCGGTATAGGTCAGTTACACCAAGGAATACGCTGTGGTAGCTTAAGAATTAAAAGCTGGCGTTTGGCTAGAGATGCGTAGTAGAGACTACCGAGGAACCTGAGTCTTGGAACATGGCAATTGCCGTGACACCCGTGGTGATGCGGGGCAGCGCAGCATAGCTACCGACTTCATGGTGAAATGCATGTGAGATCGCAGCTTATGACCTAAAGTACATTGGCTTAGAGACAATTGTAAGAGTCGGGGTTGGCGAGTGTGGGTAGCAGTGACAGTGACAATCGATACCCCTGTACCTCGCGGCGAAACATATCCGGATTATAAGACGATGTTGGTTGTGATATACATGGGACTCGTGCTCTCACTAAGCGGGCGACGATGATCAACAACCTCGACTACGGAGTCACCGCCAACGATAGACAAGAGTTGCCAAGTAACGTAACCTGTCACCTGGGTCAAGGAAAAAGCGAGACAGGACGAATATGTTACTTGATCCTCCTCTAAATATATTCAATAAACTATAACAAAAATATATAAAAATCTCCCAATTATTACATTATTTTATACTACTTTTTTATAAACTAATTTATTATGTTTATCAAGAGTTAGGTAATTCTTTAAACACTCGGGCGTCTCATTTACTTCTTTCCCCGTGTGCCTGTCAAAGACATGCGATGTCCACTGGCCCTGTACACAGTTCATCCGGCTTCGGTGGTCAGCGGCCACCTCTGAAGCAGTCGTGACGATAAGACTGCTTCCGCATACGATGATGTGAGAATAAGTTGATGAGACTCTTCATTTCTATACTAATCTTGGTCCACGACCAAAACATGTTGCAGAAGAAAAGTCTTGAACGTTGCGAGAAAAAAAAATAGATTCAATGCAGAGTAAAACCCGCTTCTAACTACCTATTTGACTCTGGCTCTTGCGCGTGCCGGTCAAGTATCCATTCCATCCGCTCCCCGTGTAAAACTCCCAAGAACAATCCCCCCTTTCTAACCTCGCTGGACACCCGGCCGATCAGTTTAGGTTCGGCTTTGTGAGGCGTTGAGAGCCTTGCTGGCAGTCTGGGCCGCGCTTCGGAGCCGGGACTCCAGGTTGGTGTCACCGAGCATGGCTCGGCCGTGGGCGACAAAGTCGTCGTAGATGGGGACGAGGGCATCAGAGCGGAGATCGCATCCGTAGTAGAACAGAACACTTCCGTTCTTGTTGAAGCTTCCGTCGGCCTTCTCGAAGAACCAGGTGAGGTTCTCGTCCTCTTCGCTGACAGTCCAGGCCAGGCTAGGGTGGTCCTTCTTGATGGCGGCAAACACGTTCTCAGCAACGTTGCTCAACCAACCAGACTTGGTGATATTGAGAGTAGCCAGAGTGGCGACGGCTCGCTCCTCGCTAGCAGGAAGGACAATGGCCAAGCACTGCATGGCATCATCATAGTAGGCGCTGAAATCTTTCGATGCCAGGAGATCCACAAATCGGTCAACAGTAGCCTCGGCATCAAGGCCTTCTCGGTCCCTCACAAGGGTCTGCTTGAACTTGGCAAGATCGCTGATCTCGCTGATAGACTCAACCTTCTGAATCTTGTCACCGCGGCGGATCAGGGTACCAGCACCAGAGTCAGTGAAAAGCTCCTTCTGCAAATCACTGGGGTGGATGATGGCAACCGAGGAACTGCGAGGCAAGGTGTCTAAAAGCTCCTTACTTTGCCTTATCTTAAGTCGTAACCCATAGCGGCACCAGCTTTGGGACATAAGGTGATCAAACTCGGCGTCCAAGTTGATGGCCGAGATCTTCTCGCCATCACCATCAAACAGGCCTCCCTTCTCAGACAGATACACGATCTTCAATGGCTCCAGGGCACGGGCAAGCTCGGCGGCAGCAACATCGGCGTTGACGTTAAGGAGACGGCCATCCTCAGTCTCAGCCATGGAGGTAAGGACGGGAACGTAGCCAGCCTCGATGGACTTCTCAATGGCGTCCTTGTTGACCCTGGTGATCTTCCCAACATATTGCCACTTCTCCTTGTCGAGGTAGTCGGCTATGAAGGCACCGCTGATGGATCGGGTAGGAACACCAAGCTCATCAAGGCGGTTAATAAGCTTCAGGTTCTCCTCAAGGAACAGCTTACGAGCAACACCCAGAGTCTTGGCGTCGGTGACCCGGATGCCCTCCTCGAACTGGGGCTCAACACCGGCCTCCTTCTCTCGTACTAAGCTGAGTTACCATTCCGGCGAGGTCATCAGTAGGGTCAACTAACCTCCAGCAGGCGGTTGAGCTGCGGCCCTCCCCCATGTACTAAAATTGGGAATTGATTAGTCTATTTTCATTTGATATCATATGGTGCAAGATTCCTCACCTAAAATTGGGAAAAGCCCGAGCTCGGTGAGGAAACAGATACTAGAACAGAGCTCGTCCAAGTGCTCGGTCAAGATGGCTCCACCGACCTTGATGACAGCAAACTTCTTCGACGAGACCGAGGTGAAGAGCTTGAGGTACTGCTGACCCTCACGCTTGCTGCCAATGCTGCTCACTGTCTGCGCGACAATCTCTCGGGTCCTATCTCGACCAGGCGAAGTGGTTAGGAGAGCTCGGCTCGTCGAGAAGGCTCGTTGGTTCGTGAGGCGGGTCGCGATACGGGCAGTGACGGCGGTGGCGGCACGTGCCGCGGGGGCAGCTCGTCGAAAACCGGCAGGCAACATCTTCCTCTGGTTATAGATGCCAATTGACTCGGCGGCGGTCGTGAGGACGGGGGGAGGGTTGGGTGTTGAGGAAGAATTGGTATCGGGGAGGTTGTGACTCTTTTAAGAACGGCGGAGCCTCTGACTCTGGGGGCGGGGCAGAAAATACCTGGGCTAGGTACCTAGGTACGTAACACCACCCACCACCCGAACGCCTGCACTCAGTAAAGAGTGCTCACATAATGATCAAATTAAAAGCTAAATAAGACATAAAAATAAGGAATAATATCATAAGTCTTTGAGTATTTTTTTTATCAAATTTAGGGACATTTTTTGCCAGAGATACTTGACTCCGTCTCTCATCTTTTTCTCGTGAATACGTGCCAACGTCAGTGCTCTCACGGCCCTAGTTGAAGAATACCACTTTGTTAAACCCAAGCTCTTTCTTTAGATAACCACCCTCAGTAAACTTTTATACCAGTGAGAATAGTGGCATTCTCAAAGAATCATTACGGTCTTCTTATTTCATGACTCTCTCTTCTTATCACTGTCACAAGCTGCAACCGATGAGCCATTTCCACGAAACCTCAAGTAGATCTGCCAAGTAATTCTTTCACCCTCAACTTTTTGCCCCTCCCCGAGACCGCTTCGCAAGAGGCGCACAGCAGCTCGCAGCACTAGCAAAGATCCTAGCAAGTAGGTACCAAATCCACTGAAAACTGTACCGAGGGAACATTGGATGCAACTGTGGTTCTATCGGGAAGAGACCCGGCCTAGCTTCCAAGAGGTCTAGTCCCCAGTTGCCGGTGCCTTGGTTGCAGGTTTCCACTCGATCGATGATACACAAAATTTTCTTTAACCGGCTGCATCTGAGTCGTGACACTCTCGGACAAGTTATTCAGAACGAGAGCAACCCTTCGTGACACCTACCCACGTTGTGCCTTTAAAAATTTGGGGGTTCAAGTCTGGGCAAGGGACCATCACTTCCCTTCACCCGTCGATCCCTCTCTCAACCCACGTTGTCGACGTGGATTTCATGATGGCGCCAGATTCATCCCACGCGTGCCGCGAGAGTAGCCGAGCTAGTGTGTCAACTACCGGTTGAGGCAGGGAAGGAAAAGAAAAAAAAAAGGGCAGGTCGCGATGAGGCATTATCAATCAGCCGGCATTATCAATCTATCGACCTGCAGATGGTCTCAGGGCTACGGAACGCCGAACCCACCTTGGATATGACGCCAGCCCGGGGCCCATGGCCGCTTGAGCGGGCACCGAGGCTTCTCCTTTGCTGGTCCTTCACCGGCCCGTCATGATATGTGCATGCCGGTTCCACCTTCGGCGGAATTTCTGGTTCAGCTTTGCATCTCGTTCGTCAGAAGCTCGGTTGCCGGTGACGCAGAATTCGTGTCTCGGCCTCGACAGGCTTGCCACGAGGAAGTTGATACCACCCTGCTAAGCGTTGAAAACTCCATAGGGACCACCTCGGACTTCTAACTACAAATAGTAGAGCCTCAAGGCCCCCAAGACAAAGTTCCTGCTGGATCTGTGGACCAAGCTGACAGTGCATTGCATTCAAAAGATCCCTCACGCAACCAAGAGACAGACAGAGCTATGCTATGAATCAAAGATCCAGCAGAAAGGTATACATCTCAATTAATCGGGAACGCCTAACCTCAATCATACATCCAGCCCGGCCTGGCGTCTCCAGGAACAACACCGAGAGTGCGTCATCGGCGTATAGCTCCTCGGAGCAAATAGCGGCCAGCATAACATGACCGGGGGGGCCAACGCGAACAAACTCCACCGTGCTCAAATCATATTCCGTTGCAGTAATGGCCAGTTGCCCAAAAGTTCCATTTCCCATGGTCGTAGCTTGCGATATTCGACGTCGTCATATCCCAGCGTGTGAATCGTGAGGACCAAGTACCCAAAGCAGCAGAGCAAGGTATCAATCAACCCTTGGTCACAACTATTAAGGTTAGCATTTGAGTTGAGTTGCCTGGAGCATCGAAACTTACCAATAGGGACAATAATAACTACCAGCAGGATGATGATACCAACAATCAGGCACATGCGCATCTTCATGTCCTTCCACCACATCTGCTTGCGGACTCTGTTGGCTCCCCGGCGGAAACCTTGCGCCGAGACGGCCAGGTTGTCGGTCTTGTCCTGAAGGGCATCGAGTCGCTCGCCACGTTGGGAAACTTTGTTGATGTTGTCACGCATCACACCGACGGTGTCATCGATTTGCTGTGATATGTATCAGCATGTTGAACAGACATGAGTACTCTAGTGGCGCAAGCCGGGACTGCGATGGATAGCGAGAAATCGGTTCCGATCACCGCGAGCCGCTAGATCTGGAGACCGAGCACCATTCGATGAGATGACATGCGTAAGCAAGGCTCCACGAGAGGAGGCCGAGCGATCCAGACTCAAGCTCCTCGAATACCAGCTGGCGACACTTTTCCTAAGGAAATCCAAGCTCCAGAGAACATGGAATCGTCCAGAACTGCGCAGCTAGCGGTTCGAGGCTGAAAGAGCGACCAGATTGCGACTTGTTCAATTGGCGCTCGTTGCCGAAAGGGGCTGTCATCATCGTCACAGGTCGCCAGATCTCGCAATCCATACACAGGCATCGCCGCGCATCACGGAAAATCATCAGAATCAACTTACAGCTTGGAGGGCCTGCGTCCTGGCATTGCCGCCAGCACCCTGTTGAGCGCCGGCCTGGCCGCTGGGGATGTAGGGGTCGTAGGGGGCTTCCTGCTCGGGCATTTTGGCTGTAGTCGGGAGGTTACTGGAAAATAGGTAGGTTGTATCGATCGGAGCGACGCAGAAATTGGCGATGCAGAGGAGATAGAGGTTGAGGTCGTGGTCGTGGTCGTGGTCGTGTAGTCGTGTGTGGTATGCGAGAGGGAAGAGGCTGGCGTAGAGAGGTTGGAGGTGGGAAGTTGATTGTGAGACGTTGCGCTGGCCAAGGCGAAACGAGTAAGGTTACTAAGTACCCAAGTTACGTAGGTAGGTAGGTAGGGTAGGTGGTAGTGGAGGTCCTTACGACCAGGTTGAAGGGCAGTGCTCCAGCCCCAGGGCTGTTTTTGGAGTGGGCGTGGGCGTTGCGAGGCGCTGCAGAGGGTGACGAGGCCTAGGCCTGGGCGGGCAGCGCACGGAGACGGCGGGAACTTGAACTGAACTGGACGGGGGGGCCGGGTTTTTGCTGAGTTTGAATTGGCTGAATTGGCTGCCTGGTGACCACCTCTACCACCTACGGACTTTAACTATCCGTACATTGCGTTGCGTCGCAGTCTTTCGGGTACGTGCAGGCATCTATCTTTGCTCTTGGCGAGAGGCTTACGAAAACGCTCAACGTGTTTGGTCTCTTGTGCTTCTTCTTTGACAAACGATCAATAAAAGCCACCGCAGGGAGAGAACAACCGCCAAAGAGGGGCCGTCGTCCCCGTGCTTCTTTCTCCTTTGCCGCAGCCTTTCACCATGACTAGAAGAACATGTACCCTCCACGCCAAGGCCTTGTTGCGAGGCTGGTAAAAGAACCGGCTGATGACGGTCCCATGTGATGCCTCAGGTGCCAACTTTGCTACCCATTTTAGGACAGAAGGCCAAAGCGCCGACAGGCTGCGTATTCGGATCCCAGCCAGGAGGTCGAAATAAAATACTCAACTTTGCTTTCTCTTTCGCGTAAAAATGCTTGAATATTTTACGCACCATCCTCCCCAGCCACCAGCCAAGGGTTGCCTCAGCCATGAATAAATCTTAGCTCAGCGCTTGCGAGCTGTCTCAAGGCTCATGCCCTCGGTTTCAGGCGCCACGGCAACCATGCTTAAAGATGAGACGCATATCTATCTTATGCTGTGCACCCAGGCAGGGCATTTGAAACGTCAAATAGCTGTCTTCTTCTGTTGATCAAACGCATCTATAAGTGCTTGCCACATCCGAATGCGCAATCAGGCATTGGATGTGCCTGGCATACGATGACTTACGCAGTGTGGCGAGACCTTCGCCATCCAGTCAGCCGATGAAGAACCCAAAGCAGATAGCCAAAACCTGCTGATGCCGCCATATGCACTCCCAGGGCGTAGAAGAAAGTGCGAAACTTCCAGATCACATTACATTTGGTGAACCCACCATGGCCATGAGCTTAATAGTGTGTTGGCGCATTGATCTTGATCTTGATCTTTAAATGTTCCCTCACCAATGGCCTCACATTGCCAAGACTTGGCTTCACTATGGCGACAAGCGAGAACTCGTCTAAAACAGTGGGCATGACGCTGAATATTAAATTATCAGGATTAGAAACGATAATCTAGAGAGTATAATGTATACTTTCATGATAGGCAAGTTCGCCGTGAGCAACGTCATTCAGCGGAAGCATCGGGGCGATATTGCCTCGTCTTCCCTCATCCGTACGGGAGCTCGGGTTTCAGGCTTAGCCCGGCATATCAAATTCGACACCATAGACTCCCGAGTACTAGACGGCCTCGGGCTCTCTATGAGAGCGTCTCTGAGATGCCGCCGCTTCCGATCATCCTAAGGCGCACATTTGAAACGCACCAGCCCAACTATCTCATCTGCCACCAGGTCTATGAGTAGGCAATTCTGGTAGGAATCTCTTACCCTTATGATATAAACCTTCTCTTAGGGTATGATTGAAACATATAGGGCGACATAGAGTACTCTTAGAGTCTCTGTAAGGTACTTGCCCGTTTATATTAAGACGTACAAGTGCTTTCGGCATTCTTCGTTGTCACACAAAGATATCAGTCATATGACGTTGCTAATTCGATATGATCAATATCTTCTCCTTTGCCCTTAGTGATACTTGGGGCAGGCGACCAATAGTGTTTGATGTATCGTGACACCTCTTGAGTACGAACAGAACCTACTCCGACTCTTGCACAAGTGGTACATCCTGAACTCCTTAGCAATCTTGCGCCGAGCTTCTTAAATTAGGTTATTGAGCAGGAGCTTGTTTACATCACCTCTCGCAAGGGAACTCCCTGCGAGTACTCCATCTAGTTACCAGTCACTATCCAGCCGATTCCCAGCCTCTGGGATGAGCGCAGGCGATCTCATTACGAGCCAATTCAACTGCAAGGAGACTAAAGCTCATGTGCCCACCTTCTTATCTGTACATAAAGCCATGCGATCAAAGAACTGAAGCAGATCCTCAAACTACTCGACCTCCTCAAGTGTGAGTGCGATGTCCTGCTCTCCACTCAAAGCCAACGACTTGAGATCAGCCGCGTCGCTTGAAGCATCGCTATAAGCTCAGAAGCAAGCTTGTGGCGTGCTGTATGCGTCATAACCCATTGCTATTTCATTCTCATCAAAGCGACACTTGCCAATAACCAGATATCAACACCTGGTGACCAAGGCAGTCCTCCACGGCCAGAATGTCCGGAGCTCGCATATTCCCATGCACAATTCCAAGAAATACTTGCATGTGGACTATGACCTCTCGGTCAACAATTGAAGGGGCCAGATATAAGCTCCTAAGTCACCGTCTTGACCCCCCTCGCCATCATGGTATCAATGTATCTGAACGCAGATCACCTTTTCCGAGGGCCTTGAACTGAGGTGATCCATTATGGCCTGGTCAGTACCTACCCGGTGCAAGGCAACTGATGATTAGCCAATAGCTTCAACCACTGAGGCTGCGTATGCAACGAGAAGCAGGCAGAGTGGGCCATCTGCCAGCAAAAAGCACTGGTGACGGAAGGAGTAATTCGAGGGTTCCCGGTCTAGTAGACACTCGGTTGCTAATCTAACCCCTCAGACGACGGAATATATCGCTTTCCTGGGCTAGTTGTCATAGGCGAACACCATGAGAACTCGTAAGGAGTTATTTGAGGTTGAGCTAGGGGTAACGGCCGGCCGGCGAGCCTTGAGAGATCCCCCTGAGCCCTGAAACACAACCCCAGATGTAATTCATGGTCCCAGTAATAGTCTTGAGCTGGGTCGAGAGACTCCTTGGTTTCAATAGATCACTGATGGCTTCTCGATCCCCTATCTAGTCTCGCTTATCACTTCAATCTGTCGAGTCCTTTGGTTTCTGGAGAGTGAACTATCGTTCTGATTGGATGGTTGGCTCATGGTCACGCATAGTCATTCTCAACACCAGCAAAATTTCACTATCCGAGATGACTTCAGACTGCTACAGCCCAAGACTCTTATATGAAAAACAATTTCGCTTGGTTCGGCCCACAAGCCATGGATGGATGAACTAAAACATGGGGTCATCGTGAATCGCGAGATTTACGCATTCTCGAGTTGCAATATGCCGTAGTACAGGCGCCTGGTTGTGTCGCCAACACTCGCCTAGGCATCACAGAGAGCCCTACCTGCTGTTTCTATATCTTTTTTGGTGTTCAGTCCCAGGGAGCTTTTGTAGCAGTTGCACAATCGATGGTTGTCTGGCGTCTGACGTTGCAGCAACTGGATCTATCTGTGGGGAAGGCACAACATAAGTTGTAACAGTTGAGAAGAGAAATTGGGCAGTCCATTGGATGAAATTCGCGTTGCACTCATAAAATATGAATCTCGCAACAACACATCCACCAGAAGTGAGCATTGAGCAGAGAGAGATTGCTCAAGCTCAATTGAGATGCATTGCTCGAAGCTTTGTCAGCAATGTCAGCAGCCAATCAAATGGTCAAGCCCCACCCGAACGCAAATGATCATTCGGCCGAGGATCCGAAGCGCCCAGGGCCGGCCGCTTCCATCCCAAAAAGGTAATGCAGCATCTTTCACGGGCTTCCAGTCGTCACTCCACATCATGCACGCACCTGCATGTTAGTGACGCGTTCGGCCACGTCGAAGCCAGTCGATAAAAATGTGTTCCATGGCCCCTGTTGCTGGGAATGTGATGCGGCGCGGCTTGAAACCGAAAGCAGAGCGAAAGAGACGGACAAGAAATCAAAGACAAAACAAAGCCGAGCGTTCCACATCGAAAAGATTGGGGCACAACAGAGGCAAGACAAGACAAGACAGGTGGAACACTACGTCACAGCCTCGTTCAGCTTGTGGCCCCCGGCTCAATGCAAATTTCGGTTTTCGCATGGATGCCGGTCGGACATCCCATCAAGGTCAGTCCATGTCAGACGAGGCGAGGCGACCAGGCGAGTCGAGGGCAGCGAGAGAGTCTTTGTCCTGTTCCCTCCCAGCCACTCATGCACGCAGCCGATGCTTGATCTGTGACCAAACAATGGCTTTTTTGTGTTGGCTTACTCGCCTGTTACCTAAACCACCATTCTGCTTGTATTCTCCAAGTACCTACCCAGACTTCGTATAAGCTTAGTAAAGCTACCGGGTGAAAGCTTGCTCCTCCCTCCTAGCAGCAGTTGCCCTACGCACCAGGCTCCGTGCCTTACGAGTCTCTGATGAGAGATTCATTTCAAGCTTATCCCGTCTAGGCGGCACCTTTCCCAACGTAGCCCCCGTATCGACAAGGTGGAGCCGGGGACGCCATCCCAAGTTGCTCCCCTCGTATTGGGAAATCTCGTGGCCTGGGCAAGGGGGCCATTGAGTGGGGATGATCGCTGGGCATCTCAGCCGATGGGTCTCGAATGGGTAGCCCTACCTATTTATTATACGCGTGCGTCGGAGTGAGACTGGCGCTAGAAATGGCCGCTGACAGGTACCGCCAGCATGCGTGCAGAGGCTGTACACGATCCTCTTCAGCCGCCCCTGGCCTGGCCCCGGGAAACGTCCTTTTTAGCTTTTTTGCTTTGCTGGTCCTCCTGTCAGAATGGGCTGGGATGTCCATCAGTGAGCTTCAACAACACGAGCCAGTCGTTCCGCTGCCCACACACACAACTTTTACCATCCTTTTTGTTGTCCTGTGCATACACGCACCACTCTGGGGTTCTTGTTTCTTGGCTCCATCCATCATCCTGTCTTGCCCTGTCTCTGTTTTTTATCTCTCACTCTCTTCTTTTCACCTTCTGGATTCACAATCTTGGGTTCAGTTATATCCGATCCGTCCACTCGCTTGTAAAGTACCTACCTACCTAAACTGCAGTACCTACAGTAGCTCCTTCCTTCCCCTGGTTTCCCGCCCGCCGTTCTTTAGCCATCCCGGCCCCTCCGCTCAAGTTCAGGCGCCGCCCCCCTCCCTCCGCCCTTTGCCGTCATCCATCCCATCCCATCTATCCAATCCTTTCTTGGTCACCTTTCTTGGTCGTCCGTCTCACTCTTCTTCTTCGACGCTCGCCTCGCCCTCTCGTCGCTTCATTCCTCCTCATGAAGCTCGATGCGCATTGTCGTCGTCGTTGAGCTCATCGTCGCTCGCTTCTCTCTTTCACCATGCGTCTGACATGGGGATCGGAGCCTAGGCTCGGGGCTGGCGCGCTCATGGCGACTCTGCTGATGATGTTCAATGGCCTCGCCGCCGCCGCCTTCGAATTGGATCCCAACTCGACTTGTACGTTCCGCCCTGCCGTGACTTGGTGCTGAAGACTGCGCAGGCAGGCTAACATTAGAACTCTCTAGCTTCTATCAAGTCCATCGCAAAGGACATTGCCGCCGACTTGGTCGGCATGTATCACGGCCATGAGCCTGGCGGTACTCCAGGCCTGCTTCCTGAGCCTTACTACTGTACGTCGATTCTTCAGCTTTTGTGCCCTGATGCTAATCGCCTCTCACAGGGTGGTATACTGGTGCCATGATGGGATCCCTCATCGATTACTGGGCCTACACAGGCGACGACGAATATGTTGCCCTCACCAAACAGGCACTACTCTTCCAAGTCGGCGACCACAACGATTACATGCCCCTTAACCAGACCAGAACCGAAGGAAACGATGATCAGGGATTCTGGGGCCTCTCCGTCATGTCGGCCGCCGAATACAATTTTCCTCATCCTGATGCCGATCAGCCGCAATGGCTCGCCCTCGCCCAGGCCGTCTTCAACACCCAAGCCGCTCGTTGGGATACGGAGCACTGTGGCGGTGGTTTGCGATGGCAGATCTTCCAGGTGCGTATAATTCTTGGTCAATTATTTAACTTTCCTCGTCTGGTCTGTCAGGTTCCGTGGCGCTGTCTGAGCGCTTCTAGATCCTGGCCACCATCGCTCTACGTGGTGTGAATGAAAGCTAATCAGGCCCCATTCTTGGACTTAGTGGAACAACGGTTACGACTACAAAAATTCCATTTCTCAAGCATGTTTCTTCGCCTTGGCCGCACGTCTCGCCCTCTTCACCGGCAACAGCAGTTATGCAGACTGGGCCGAGACCACCTATGACTGGATGGAGAAGGTCAAATTCATCGACCCCAAGTCATTCTACGTGTATGACGGCGCTCATACTGGAAACTCGTGCTCCAAGATCGTGCCCTACCAGTTTTCGTACAACGCTGGCGGTTTCATCCTCGGTGCTGCCGCCATGTACAACTTTACCGAGAGCCAAGTCTGGAAGGATCGCCTCGACAACCTCCTCGAAGGTGTCAAGATTTTCTTTGCGGGCACTGAAAAAAACATCATGTCAGAGGTCGCCTGTGAGCCCGTCAAACTTTGCAACCTCGATCAGCGGTCTTTCAAGGCATATCTGAGCCGATGGCTAGCTGTCACCACTCAGTGGGCCCCGTACACCGCTGACATGATCATGCCTCTCCTGCGAACCTCAGCTGTCGCCGCGACGAAGGTCTGTACTGGAGGGAGCAACAAACGAATGTGTGGTCTTTACTGGACCAAGGACAAGTTTGAAGGTTCTACGAGTGTCGGTCAGCAAATGGCCGCTTTGGAAGTCACTCTTTCGTGCATGATCGAGAGTCGCCCCGCCCCCTTGACGCAGGATACCGGAGGTACAAGTAAGGGTGACCCAGGTGGTGGCTCTGCAGATATTGGACGTACAACCCCTGAAGTTAACTGGGACCCGATCACTGGAGGAGACAAGGCGGGAGCTTCAATTCTCACAATTCTCCTCGCCGGTGGCCTCTTGGCCTTCACGGTTTGGATGTTCCTCGACGAGACATCAAACAAGGGCGTTGTGCCTCAGTTCCAGGGCTTCTCCACGTCAGTTGTTGCTGCGGTTACCACTTTGGCTGCTGGTGGAGGTCTCGCTGCGGCTCTGGGTTTCAGGCGTGAGAAGGACGAGGTCCGCGAAAAGCCCAGCACGATATTCCAAACGACGGGCGACCATAGTTCTCAGACAAGCGGTGACAAGCACATGGCCGTCGAGCGCCAACCGGTCCCTGTTGGGGTTGTGCGCAGCGGAACCCCCGGTCAGCATCGTCGAGTGTCCAGCATGCCTTTGGGATGGCCACATAATCCAACAATGAGAGGAAGCGCCGCATATGACCCTGATGGTACCCATCCGGGATCGGGCCGACAGTCTCGAGGAGATTGGGTGGATTCCGAGCAGGGAGAGTCGAGCAGTACTCCTAGCAGCTCTAACGAGGCCAACCGAAGCTACATCCCTCACGAGATCCCGGTCGGAGCCGATCTTCCTCTATTTGACGACCCCAACCAAGCGTTGGATGGGAATGGAAAGGCTCCCGCTAGCGAGCAACCTGCCGAGCCCATCAGTAACGTGATCGAAAACGATAGAGCCGTGGCCGTTGGTGGCGAGAATACGACAGTGTCTAGCCCCGAACAAGGGGACACATCAGCTAGAGCGGAAGTGACTCCATCTGCAGAAGAGCAGACTCGCCCCGTTGAGGCTCCTCAGAAAGACAAGGCGGGACAACCGGAGACGATTGGAGTAGCACATTAATTATTGGATCACACCAGACAACCAGTCAACTGTTTGAAAATATTCAGGACTACGAACTTTGGGTGATGTTGGACGATCAAGCAGGATCATAACGGACTTACTACTACTACATCTACATTCATGGACGGCGTTCAATGGTCAGGGCGCAAATTGGCAGGCAGCCTGTGAAACAGGCTTTGAACAGTATATACATACGGCTGTCTACATGCATTGGCAGGTCGTTGGTCGCATCAACAATAAGGGGTTAAATCATGGCATGGGCATGACTGTCTCAGCCATTACTGTCATTTTCTGCAAGAGAATCAAATATATGGAGATTGAAGTTTGATGGCCACATTGATATCACGTCGACGAGTGTGATAGAACGGATCGTAGAGATACACGCTAAGCTCTGTGTTCTCATAATCTGTCGCTCTCTGTCTAGCCATTGCAAGCTTTGCCCTACCCCCCAAGCATGGAGGCTGTTTTGTACTCAGCCAGACTTGTGATAGGTCTCCCGAATAGCATCCTTCTCCCGCTCCAGAAACTCGTCAAACGAGCTGAGAGGAATCCCCCATTTCTTCACCTCCTCCAGAGTAGTAAACTTTCCCATGTCCCGCATAACAAGCTGCCCGTTGATGAACGGGTTGGTGTCCATCTGGGCGTTGATCTCCTCCTCAGTCAGGTAGTTGGTCTTGAGCTCCCGGCCCACGGCCTTGGACAGCTTCTCCATAACCTCATCCGGGGTGAGCCATTCATCGGCGTAAAGGATCTCTTTTTCATGGAAGCGTTCCGGGTTTAGGAGCGCCTCGCCGCCGAACCTGCCAATCGTGACCGTGTCGACTTTAGGCAGAACGGTTGTAGGTGTAAGTGCCGTGGTCCAGACTCCTTCCTTGACGAGGCCTGGGTACATCATGACAAAGGGCTCGAAGTAGTTCGCCATGAAGTTTCCAGGGCGCAAAATGGTCCAGTATTCAAAGCCGGCCGTACGGGTTTCGATCTCGATGGCTGTCTTGTTTCTCATGACCGTGTCGAGGAAGCTACCAGGCTTCACGGCCGTAAGCTTGTCAGGCTCATTTGCGCCAAACCCGCTAGAAAACACCGCATGCTTCACACCAGCCGCCTTACCGGCGCTGTAGATGTTCTTGGCCCATGTCCTCTCTTTGGTCAGGTCCGTGAAGTCGGGCATGAGGACCAGGAAGATGGCGGTGCAGCCGGCCATGGCCGTCTCGATAGCTTCCTTGTTGTCATAGTCACCAGGGGTGAGCTTGACTCCGATGGACTCCAGGTCGTGGGCTTTCTTTGAGGTTGGGTCCCGGACGAGGGCGTGGACTTCGACATCCTTTGATCGAAGGTAGCGGGCTACGGCACCGCCTTGGCAACCAGTGGCACCACAAACGAAGACTTTAAGATCGGACATGGTGAATAAGAATGACTAGTTTGTGTGGGAGTATAAAGTATAGGTGTCTCTGCCTTTAAGCAACAAAGTTGGTCTCGCGTAAGTTGGAGTAAATTGCTGACGATGCGTTCTGGGTATTCTATGTCCTTGGTCGAAAGATGACAGCCTTTATAACAAATATTTTGCTAAAGACTCCGAAATCTCACCAATTTCCGCTAAGGATCATCTCTTATGAGCCTCCGCCGGCCAAGGTCCGCTATTCCCGGCCCCGGCGGTTGTAGGTCCCGAGTCACCTTCACCGGGCGGAGTTCCGCCCAGACCCACATTTCCGGCGCACCTCCACTCTAAGCCCGATCTCTCACTCGCAAGTCTCACCTTGATCCTTCAACATCAAACACGACGCGTGCATCTCAGCCGCAGAGACTCTAGCATTTCCTTTCTTCACATTCTCCGCATGTCAAAGTCTCCGCAGCGGACTTTTCCACCTCATGTCTCTCACCGCTCGGGAACGCCGCAACCCTCCTCCGCGGCGGAAGTCGTGCGCCGCCTGCACCAAGGCCAAGCGGCGCTGCGACTTTGCAGTACCGGCCTGTCTCCGGTGCTCGCAGAGATGCATTCCCTGTCAATATCCTTCGCGAACTCCGCGGGGGCAGAGCATGACGACGAATTCGTCAAGTTCGCCAGAGACCATCATGCCAGGCTTGCTGACGAATGAGTCGGCATCCTCTACGCCCCCGGCTGTCGGTCAACTTGATGAACCCATCGTGGAGGATTTCAATGCTGTCATTGCGGATATTGATAACTTTAATGAACTGGCGTCTTTTGATGTTCATCTTGACGACACCACTTTGGACCTCATCCAGCCAACCTTGGAACTATCACCCCCTTCTACGAAGGAGTTTGGTGCAATCCCAGAAGCCATCACAAGTCGACTCAAATGGTCAATAGCAGAGATTCAAAAGGCCCCTTCAACTATGGTCCTCGAGAACCAGACCCCTTGGTGTCACGCTCTTCTATACAAGAACGAAATGCCACGATCAATGCAGGGTAAAGTTCACCTCTCGTCCTTCGAGTACTTAACTAAGACCTTCTGCAGACGCACATGCAGCCTGTGCACTTTACCTCGCAAAGAACCGAGTGAACTCTCCTTTCATCTTCCGTAGCATCGAGACCCGCGTCAATGACCTCCTATCATCGCCTCCGCCTGTAACGCCATTTGAGTGTCTTGCACACACCCACGCCCTCATCCTATACCAAATCATCCGGCTCTTTGACGGCGACATTGGCGCTAGGGCATCTGCAGAACGCATGATCCCCGCGATAGAGTCTTCAGCGATGACTCTATTTTCTCATGTGCAATTTGACTTGGATCGGACGTCCACCTACTCCCTCCCCCTCTTCCCGATAGCCCCAACAAAGACATTCTGGATGGACTGGATCCTGCAAGAGTCTCTTCGACGCACCCTTCTCTTCACATTCTATTTTATGCAAATCTACCGCATCATGGCCGGCTACAAAGGGTTGCAGTGTGACGGGAGGATGGGGCTATGTCACTCCTGGACCCTGTCAGCGCATCTATGGAATGCGCGTTCACCGCTGGCCTTTGCAGAGGCCTGGATGAACAAGAAGCATTTGGTAGTGACAGATGCGATATTTGGCAAAGTACTCCAGGAAGCGATGGCCCATGATATAGACGTGCTTGGGCGTATTTTCATCTCGTCTCTTCTGGGGGTGGATGAAGCAGAGGGCTGGTTTGCGAGTAAAGGTGGGAAACTCTAGGCTAGGATGAGTTTACACACCAGAGGGATTGTCCGATATGGCTGAACTCACTATGTTTACGAGGGTGATTTAGATACCCACCTTGAATAAGTTCGAAACTATGATCCAGCAGAATTAAATCTTAGAAGGCTATGATCATTATCAACCTCGGACATGATTATTTCAAGGTGACTTGTCTCGACTAGCATCTCTTCCCTCTGAGAATCACTCGAGAGAGTCTAGAGCCCTGCCGACATAGCCCGAATTGGCAATACTGAACAACAAGCAACAGCGGGTTTAGCTCAGTTGGGAGAGCGTCAGACTGAAGTCAAACTTCAATCATACGATATCTGAAGGTCATGTGTTCGATCCACATAAACCGCAAAACCTTTCTTTTTGTGCTTCTTCACGATTCAGTTTAACCGTGAAGAACTAGCCATCTATTTTTAGAATTTTGCATTTAAACTTTTGCCCAACAGGAAGGAACTTGTTGATCGCGCAGTGCCAGCTTTTCTTAATCACTTGCAGCTTAAGAAAGTTGCTCGTAAACGGCCCTGTATCGGCCCAGATTCCCAATCCGCTCACTCCCTGGACCCTGAAGTAATTAACCAAGTGTCATACAAGAACCACCTCTTGATCCATAAAGATTAAGTAACCTAACGGGATCCAGTAGTTCGTCTTTAAATCCGCCAATGGCCTCGATGTGGTCGTCCGATTCATGGGTCGAAGGTGGGCGGCCGGAAGTCGGCGGATAGTAACCCCGGTCTCATTCGCGATCCTGCGCCCAAGTTCATCAGGGTCCATGTCTTACATCCCCTTTAAAGCGTCAGTGATAGCCTCCGTGACAGATGTGCCACTTCTCGTGCCTCGCCAACCCCTCCTGAGGTCTCGTCATTATGTCACTGCAAGGACTTGACACAAGCCCCTCTCGCGGGGACCGCGACAATGCCTCGTTCCTCTCTCCTATCGCATACGACGACGACGCTTCATCAATCCACACCCGCAGCGACCAGGATACGGATAGCGACGACGATGAGCTTATTTCCCGCGCCAGAAATAGCCGGGAGCTTCGCGCCCACGATCGCATCGTCTTGATGGAGGAGGAAGATATTGATCGACTTGTTACCGATACCAGAAAAAAGAAGGAAAGAGAGCGTCGTGGCTCCGGACTCGCCGTTCCCAACTTGAAAAAGATGTTTGGACGTCGAGGAAGTAATTCAGGCACTTTTCAGCTCAACAGCTCGACCGAGGATCTTGTGTCCGAAAAGAGAAGCGCTCGACGTCAGAGGAGACAGAAGAAGCGTGAGAGGCTAGTGGAGAATGCGCAACATGGAGAAGATGGACAGTTGATGTACGAGATGGAAGAGGGAGGGATGAAGGAAGGCAGTTCCACCGGCGAGAGCAGCGAGAGGGATGATAGCGATGAGATTGATCGACACCATCTCAACCTCATCGCCGAGGCCAAGGCCCAGAGACGTCGCAGCTGGCGCCGTTGGGTCTTTATCCATTCCCTTATCGCAATTGGCTTTGCGATCCTCATCTTGATGGCCTGGAAGCTGTCAAAGAACCGCAAGGTCAAACCCCTGAAGCAGGCGCTTGTAAGCAACGGCACCGCCCTGTTTGCGCCCACCACCCTTATCATCAGCTTGGACGGTTTCCGCGCCGACTTTCTCCAGCGCGACCTGACACCGACGCTGAACTCGTTTATCGCAGAGGGTGTGTCGCCAAAGTGGATGCATCCTTCTTTTCCCTCCGTCACGTTTCCGAATCACTACACACTTGCGACTGGTCTGTATCCTGAGTCCCACGGCATTGTAAGCAACACATTCTGGGACCCCGAGCTTCAGGCTCAGTTCTTCTATACCGATCCAGACCGGAGTCTGGATCCCAAGTGGTGGGGAGGAGAGCCATTCTGGGTGACGGCCGAGAAGCAAGGAGTCCGAAGTGCCATCCACATGTGGCCCGGAAGCGAGGCGCATGTTCTGCACAAAGAGCCAAGCATTCTCGACAAGTTCAACCACAAGGAGACGCTCGATAACAAGGTTTCGAGGATCATGCAGTTCCTTGACATGCCTGGTATGGAAGACAAGACGGCGGATGTCAAGGATATGCGACCTCAACTGATTGCCGCTTATGTGCCTCACGTTGACTCCAATGGGCACAAGTTTGGCCCTAACAGCACTGAAATCCGCGACACTATCGAAAAGGTAGATACCATGCTGAGCAACGTTTTCAAGGGACTCGAGGAGAGAAACCTGACAAAGATTGTCAACGTCATTGTGGTGTCGGATCATGGTATGGCAACGACTGATATCTCTCGGCTGATCCAGCTCGAGGACCTTATTGATACCGACAAGATCGAGCACATCGACGGGTGGCCGTTGTACGGTCTACGCCCCAAGAATCTTGATGACCTTCAAGGGTTGTACGATCAGCTAAAGGAAAAGTCCAAGTCGAACCCGAACTACGAAGTCTATCTTCGGGACGTCGACATGCCCGAGCGATACCACTTCTCCAAGCATCCTCGCATCGCTCCCTTGTGGGTGGTACCAAAAACAGGTTGGGCCATCGTCACCAAAAAGGAGTTTGATGTCAAGGAGGGACAGAAGAAGAAGCTCGTGTACCACCCCCGTGGTCTTCACGGCTACGATCATGAGCATCCGCTGATGCGGGCCATCTTCATCGCTCGCGGCCCTGCATTCCCGCACCCAGCAAACAGTCAAGTTGACGTGTTCCGTGAGTCAAGACCCAAGAAAAACTGGCAGTTTCGTAACTAACAGGGCACAAACAGAAAATATCGAGGTGTACAACATGCTGTGCGACTCGGTCGGCATTGAGCCGGTTCCCAACAACGGCACCCTGCGACTACCGCTGAAGCCCGTTGGTTTGCACAAGCCTGAGGAGATGCCTGAGGAGCCAGCAGACCCCGTGTCCACGCATGAGGCAGAGTCGTCTGGGTCCAAGGAGCCGGCTCGCCCAACCATTCCAGAAAAGCCGGCGCAACCTACGCGACCGACAGTCCCTGAGAAGCCGAAGCAACCTGAACGGCCGACGGTGCCAGTGGCGCCATCAAAGCCGGCAGAGGCCAGCGTGTCTCAGGCGTCCACTAAGTCGGCAAAGCCTTCAAAGTCGGCAGCTCCATCATCCAAAGGTGACGAAGATGAGGACAGTGATAGCGACAGCGACGACGAAGACGATGAAGAAGAAGAGGAGGGTTGGTGGGATTGGATCACTCACAAGGTGGGGAAGGTCTGGCACAAGCTGACCGGAGAAGAATCGGATTAGTGCTATTATTCTGGATATGGATAGACAGGTCGTACTGTAATTACTGGCGTTTGGACGGATAGCGACTGATATTTTCAAGCGGCGTTTGAAGCCTAATGTAGAGCTGGGCGGATGGGCCAATATACCCAGCATGGATACATGATTTCTTTCAATCCATCCATCCCGCCTCTTGTCCATTTCTCCTCCCTCACAGACGTGTCCTTGCAGGCAGCAGTGGCGCCCATGGTCTGACGGCATTGCACATTGGGAGCCTGCCTTGCGAGGTTGACTTGCAGTGTCTCTGGTTGGTGGGGTTTGGCCACCTATGGCTGAGCTGAGTCTTGGGCGCACGCATAGGCATAGGCGAGGAGGTTGAAAGGGCATTACTCATAGGTTGCCTTCATATGCAGACGAGCCGTCAGTCCTCTGAAAAAGGATAAAATACGGAGACGGCATGGGGAGCCTCCCGCAGCATCATGACATTCAACAGGCCAGGTATCAGAAACTCGAAGGGAGAGAGGCGAAAAATGATCGTGAATGACAACAGTGAGACGTCGTTGACGAGGATACGGCTACAAAAAAGCCAGCCGAGAAATGCAAAAAGAGACTTTTGGTAAACGTGAAAGTACCAAAATCACGGCATTGGAGTAATAAATTCCCTATGAGGTGTGTTTCTTCGACCTCGACCCAGAAGCCGACGCCCTTTAATTGCCTCCCATCGGGTGCTGCCCCCGCCATCAGCTCCCCGTCTCCAGCTCCGCCGGGCAACCAAAGCTACAGGTTCCAGGGCGGATTCAGTGGGTCCCCTCCCCCGCTAGCGGCACCCTCGCACCGGGTCAACCTCTATAACTCCCCACGCTCCAATCCAATTGATCTCTCCTCCGCACCTGCTGCAGCGCGACGCGTGACGCGGCTCTAGCTCCTTCCACACCATCGGGTACAGCACCTACAAAGATTACCTACACATTCACAATCCTAATCTGTGTTCAGACCTACCCGGCAGGTGCTCCCGGTTTTTTTCAAGCATCCACCATCTCATCCATCAATATTCAGCTCGCCAACAAACAAAGAGGGGAATAACTAAAGAAAAGGAACGGAACATCGATTCGCCTGGGCTGTGTCTCGTCTCCATTCAATAATCTACCGATCGCAACGACCGGCCTGCTCTTCGTTCCACACATCCGTTGTCATTGGTACACGCCTCACTCTTGAGTACCGTACCGTACAGGACTGGACTGAACAGTACCTCGCCTCCTCACCCAACGCCCATGGGCGGCTCCTTGCCTCGTTTGGCCCGCCCTCTCTCTGACCGACCGGTGCCTGGCGTGCCTCGTTCTGCATCACATTGGATCCCAGCCTGAACCCATCACATCCATCCCCATCCCTGGTGTGCTGTCCTGCTGCAGCAGGCGTCAAGCGCAAACAAAAATGGCTGACACCGATGGCGCTTCCATGAGCATCGACGAGATCAACGAGGAGTTGACCATTCAAAAGGTCATCCTCGACTCGCTCTCCGACCAAGATCTCGAAACTGGTGAGGAAATGAGAGAAGATGCCCGCCAGGAGATTGCTCGACTAAAGAAGCTCCTCCACGCCGCCAAGAAGAAGCAGCAGCCGCAAGAGTCTACGCCTCGTAAGTTGGCACAGCCTGGTTTACCCCTCGGCCCTTTTCACGATACACAGTTACCGCGGGGATCGCTGTTCTGAAGGCTGACTGACTGACTGACTTTTGATGTGTGCAGAGCCTCAGCCTGCCACGCCCGTCAGAAACCAAGAGGCATCCCGGTCTGTTTCAGGTACGGGCATCCGTTTGTTCTCTGTTTTCCTGTCTCAGTACCCATACGGTTGACCGTCATTCAACCATAATTTACCTCACCCTACCTCTAAACCTTGACTCTACCCATCCCCATCGCATCTGCTCTTGTAAACCCTCCATCCTCCGTTCCTTATTCCACCTGTTTCTTGCATCTCACTCCATTCCCCAAACACTCCTCAGACGACCCCTCAAAGAAAATGGGCTGAGCTGGTCCATCTGACGTACAAAGACTCTCAGAGCCTTATTCTTTGTCTTGCTTGCCCTACCTTTCAACCCACACAAGCCACATTTTCCCACTGCACAGACAGTTATTTCACTCAACTTTGACCCGAGATTCTGTCCTAAAACAGGTGGCATCGCCATCTGATACTCCACCTCCCACTTGAATCCTCACTGACCTTGCTCCTCAAGAATATCGAAAGCCTGAGAATCGCCAAGCCATGTACACACCCTCAAGAAACAACCAGAGCTTCAGCGAGCTCGGATCATACTCGTTGCCTAACCGGAAACGAGGTGTTGATTCCGCTCGTCTCTCTACTCATGGAACACAGCCCAAGACACGCAGGATGTCTCCGATGCCGCCTGGAGACCCCTTTTCTACCGCTCCAGCTCCAATGGACTTTAGCCAAATAGACTTCATCGACCTTACTGGGTAAGCTATCTGTCACACGGGCCAACCCTCAAGGATGTGGACTAATGCAATCTAACCAGGGACGACGACGATATCGGCTCTGAAATCGTTGCTCAGCAAATCAAGGCTGAGAGGCAACGAGACCAGGAAAAGGCAGACCTGGAGTATGCGCTGATGCTCTCCCAAGGATCTCCAGGCCAAGCTTCGACTAACTTGTCTCCTCCTAACAACGCTTTCACAAGAATCATGAACAGCCAGCCACCCGCTGCCAGCTCACAGGGCTTTGACTTCGACTTTAGTGATGACTGGAACGCAGGCCCTGGACCATCCAACCGAACTCCAGTACCAAAAGTTGAGGATCCCGGCCTCTTCATCCCGGGTGCATATGATGCGAGCTGGGATGATCCGTTTGCCTCAGGGCCCTCAACCAGCTCCACTGCGAGAAGCAATGGAGTTCACAGCTCAGCAGGAACCGGCCCCCCGAACACGCCTTATGGGAACGTCCAAGGAGGTCGACCTATTAAGAATGAGTCGGCACATATGGCAGACTTCGCTAATAGTGTTGCGATGGCTGAAGCTGCCCGTCTCGGTCTAAGTGTCCCCCAACCCGGGTTTCTTGGCTTTGGACACCCCAACGGCAGTTATTCTAATGGAATTCCACACCGTGGCGCCCCCTTTTCCGGTATTCCAAATGTTCCCGGTCCGTCCTCGGGGCATGCGTCGTCCCTTGCTGATATCATCACCAAAACGAACATGTTCGACTACACCAGCGGCATGGATGCCTACGGGAACCCATTGCCGGAGCGACTCTCGGATTTTATCCAAGATGCCTATCATGACCCCAGAATGACTGAAAAGGACCTGGACAATCTCCTCCAGAACATTCGACCTGACATGGACATCCCGGAGATGAATCGCGACGGTACACCGGCTGGATTGAAGAGACCACTGTACCCCCATCAGGAGCTCGCTCTCACCTGGATGAAGAAGATGGAGCAGGGTTCGAACAAAGGCGGCATTCTTGCTGACGACATGGGTCTGGGAAAGACCATCTCAACCCTTGCGCTGCTTCTGTCTCGCCCAGCAACCACTCGCCCCAAGGTTAGTCAGGTTCTCTTCATCCATAGGTATCCCAGCTAACTTGCTAGACAACCTTGATCGTCGGACCTGTGGCACTCATTCGGCAGTGGGAGGAAGAGATCGCCACCAAAACGAAACTATCCCATCGCCTTTCGGTCTTTGTGTACCACAACCGCAAGACTACAACTGACGAGCTGCTCAAGTACGACGTGGTCTTGACTACTTATGGTACAGTTGCGCAGGAACTCAAGAAACTTGACAAGTACATGGAGGACAACCGTGGTCGAAACATTGACATGAACGACAAGACCTTACTCGTCAAGTGCCCTCTGCTGCACCCAGCAAAGGCAAAGTTTTACCGCATTGTCCTCGACGAGGCGCAGTGCATCAAGAACAAGGACACGAAAACTGCCAAGGCGTGTACCCAACTGCGAGCAACGTACCGATGGTGTCTCACAGGAACCCCCATGATGAACGGAGTCCTGGAGCTCTACTCGCTGCTGAACTTCCTCAGGATCAAGCCGTACAGTCAGTGGGAGGAGTTTCGCCAGGCGTTTGGTATTCTCTTTGGTCGGAACGGCGATCCGAAGAGCGTTGCAATGAAGAGACTGCGAGCGCTTCTCCAGGCCATCATGCTTCGACGCAAGAAGAATTCAGAACTCGATGGGAAACCCATCCTGAAGCTCCCCGAGAAGACTGAAGAAATTGTCTATGCGGAACTGTCGCCCGAGGAACGTGACTTCTACGACCAGCTGGAAAAGAATGCCCAGGTGCAGTTCAGCAAGTACCTCCGCGCTGGAAGCATTGGAAAGAATTACTCGAACATCCTGGTCCTCTTGCTGCGAATGCGTCAGGCATGTTGCCACCCACATCTCAATCTCGATGTGGACGACGCGGCCCCAAACTCGACCATCTCAAACGAGGAGAAGGAAGAGTTGGTCAGATCTCTGGATCGGGCCATCGTGGAGCGAATCAAGGGTATTGAGGGCTTCGAATGCCCCATTTGCTATGATGCTGTCCCGTGTCCCAGCTTCTTCATCCCTTGCGGACACGACAGCTGTAGCGAATGTCTTGTTCGCATTGCCGAGAATGCCTCAACCCTTAATCTGCAGGAAGGGAGTGAGAGTAGCCGGGCTAAGTGCCCCGTGTGCCGCGGCCCATTCGACCCCAGCAAATGCTTCTCCTACGACGTCTTTCAGAAGATTCACATGCCCGAATCAGTCAAGGAGAAGCCTGACGAAGAGGGTCAAGACGAGGACGACTCATCAGATGATTCTTCAGAATCAGAATCGGATTATTCCTCAGATGATGAGATCGACCACAAGGGAAACCTGAGGGATTTCATCGTTAACGACGAGTTCTCGGACGAGGAAGATACCAAGAAACCAGCAAAGGCCAAAAAGAAGAGCAAAGATAAGGGCAAGGGCAAAGGAAAAGGCAAGAAGAAGGCATCTGATATCAAGCCTTCGATGCTCAAGACCCTTCGCAAGGAGGCTTCCAAGAACCGTGATGCGTACAAAAAGTACATGCGATACTTGCGCAAGACGTGGGAGCCGGCGGCCAAGGTGACGGCATGCATGGATCTGCTGAAGCAGATCAACGAAACAGGAGAGAAGACGATCGTCTTTTCCCAGTGGACTCTGTTGCTCGATCTCCTTCAGGTGGCCATGTCTCACGAGAAGCTGGAAAAGCCAGAGAGATACGACGGGTCCATGTCGGCCACGCATCGCAACATCGCAGCCCGCAACTTCCGGGATCGAAAGGACGTCAAGGTGATGCTGGTGTCTCTCCGAGCTGGCAATGCAGGTCTGAACCTGACGGCAGCATCACGAGTCATCATCATGGACCCCTTCTGGAACCCGTACATTGAGATGCAGGCGGTTGACCGTGCCTACCGAATCGGCCAGCAGAAGGAGGTCAAGGTGTACCGCATTTTGACAAAGAAGACAGTCGAGGACCGAATTGTGGCCCTACAGAACCAGAAAAAGGAGATTGTTGAAGCAGCCCTTGACGAGAACGAGGGCAGACAGATCGCGCGTCTGGGTACGAACGAGCTCAAGTTCCTCTTTAATACGCGCTGAGGGACCAGGGCGACATGGACAACTTGACGACAACAGACGAATCATGACCACTTTCAGGCAGTGTCATGAGGATACACAGATTTGTTTTATTGTATGGTCACCACATTGTGTGATGAACACGGATCGGGGAAACACGGAAATGGACAATGGATGCTTTAGACGGCAACGGAGTTGTGGTTCTGACCTCGGCCTGGTTAGAGAGCCGCAATACAGAGGCAGTTTTGGGTTGATTGGGCTGGCTATTTATTCAGCATGGGAGCACATGGGGAAAACCATGGGAACTTATGATTCATGATAAAGGCATCTGCAAGGATGGACTGGAGATATCGCTTTTTCAAGATGGAAGCATCCTGCAAATGGTCTAGAGCAGATGAGGTACCAGCAAGTTAGAGGAACGGACATATTTTGATAATTCAAGCATTGACTAAACGAGGATGCTAAGCTCACAAACAGGGATAAGGTGTAGGCACGATTGGAAGGTGAATTCTTTTGAATATATGCGGAAAATGGGTATATCCCCAACTGGTATGCTAAAAGTAACTATGCCCCTGATTTAATCTTGCCAAACGCCATTGAAATCGCTTGAACCACTACTTTTCATGTCCCATCATAGGCAAGGCCTCAAGTGTTGAGCGCGACTGCAGCAGCCAGCAGCCAACCCCTGATGCCTACAGGCTCCTCACTCGGGAAACGCCTTCTTGGCCTCCCGCTGGACAATCTCCTGCAGACTTGCCGGCTCAGCGGCGGCTTCAGGGGTCCACTCCCACTCCTGTCGCAGCGTTTTACCCTCGACCTGGGAGGTGCCCGTGACGAGCAGCTTGGGCTCGCGGGTGAGGGTGAATCGCATCTCAAACTCCTCCTTGTCGGCGTCGCGGATAGAGTCGCCCTTAATGCTCTTGACCCATCGGGTGCTCGAAGGAGATGAGGCGAGCAGGGTGCGGAAGTGCTCGGTGAGGACGCGGGCGGTGGCGGTGCTGAGGTAGTCATGTAGGGCGTCCGGAGTTGGGTATCCCTCTCGGAAGGGGGCGCAGATGCGGGCGATGAGTGAGTTTGGAGGCGTGGTGACTTGGTAGTAGGTGGCGGTGACGGGGAAGAGAAAGGTGCGACCGCGGACGTCCATGATGGCACCGGGGGCGAGGGTGAGCCTGAGGTTGAAATCGATGGGAGGGATGATGTTGCGGACCATGGCCCCCGGAACCGAACTCAGGGGCGCCCTCAAGTCGGCCAGGTCCGGGTCTGAGACTCGGGGCGTTAGTAGGATGAAGTTGGCAGGAAGGCCGGCGTGTCGGAGAGATTGAACGATGCGACCGATGTAGGTGGTGGCATTGATCAGGTGGCGGTAGTGCATGAAGTAGGCGATGACGGGTCGGACGAGGGTGTGTATATTCTGGCCTCGCGTACGGGGGATATGAGGTGGTATAGGGCGTGTTCTGAAGAGCTCGGCATTGCGATGAGCGTTGGTGAGGAGGATATGAAGTGAGATGGCCGCCATCTCGGCCATGTGGTTGTCAGGTAGAGACTCATCCAACGACGACTGTGAACCCAGAGGCACAAGTTCGATGGTCAGCTTTGACTTGGACGCGGGATCCAACTCGCACGTCAAGCGGGAGCCGTCGGGCTTGACATCGTATGCGGCTAAATTGCGAGCCTCGCGCCTAATCTCGTACCAGAGCTCCTGCGAGAAGATGGTATTACGGGCTTCGAGGACTCGCGCTTCTAAGGGGGCGTCGTCTGTCGTCTGCGCGGGGAGGGCAGAGCGGCCTGTGACTTTGCCGTCCTTCTCGAGGGTCACGACGAGTCGTTCTGACACGCCGCCTAGTCGGCCACAGTCGAGCTGAACTGCGCCGTCGTCTCCTCTCCGCATGGGGGCGAGACCGTTGTTTCTGAAATCGGATGCAGCTGTTTATGTGAGCAAGAAATTGTGTTTAGAAGAAGTATATGGGACCAACCTTCTGAAAAGCCAAATCGAACACCAAGAGTGTGCCTCTCCTTGGGGACCCTTGATATAGACCACCCATTCTTCTGAACCGCCACAATCTCATCCCAATACCTCCCCTCGGCCGCAATCTCCTTCTGCAGAAACTTGCAGGCCTCCTCTGCGGCGTCGCGCGTCTTGTTGACCTTCATGATGGTCCACCCCACGGCCACGTCCTCGTGATCCTTGGCCTTTGCCGGCGACACGGTCGGGTCGTCGAGCTTGTCGAAGCCCATGGTGCCGATGCCTGCGATTTCGCGTAGGCCCTGCGATAGAGTCACGCCGCCTTGCGTGGGGTTTTGCTTGGAGATGAGGAGGGAGAGGAAGTCGAGGGTGAGGAAGGCTGTGTTTCCGGCGATGCTGCGAGAGAGATTAGCATGTGTCGCACATGTTTAGACCAAACTTGACTTGCTCAATGTTCCTCAAAACCTCCATGCGCACCTCCTGAGGATCCCTCTCTGCCTCTTGCTCCTCATCTTCGTCGTCTTCGTCCTGGCCGGTCTCAGCCATGTCCACGTCCTTGTCCTCGGCAGCATCCCCATTGACAGCGTCACGCGCGGCAATCTCGTCGCGCAGCTTGTCTTCTGACAGAGCTCTGAAGCCGCCGGGCTGGGCATTGACGCGGGCGATGAAGTCGGCGATGTTCTTGGGCCTGCGGTCGGCGACGGGGTTCGGCCGTAGCGAGAGCGGCTGGTCGTCGTGACCTGGAGCCATGGCGGGGGGGATTGAACTCTTCGTATCAATGGTTTATTCGTATTCGTACGCGGGGAGGACTTGGATATTAACTGATCATGTATGCGAATGTGGTTGTTGAAGTTGTTTAATTCATGACCATTCGAGGTTAGCCCAGCCTTGATGCTTGCTTGTGCTTGTGCTTGGAGCTCTCAAGCGGCATGTGGATGACGGCGGGGCTCCATTGTTGCTGGGGTGGGCCCGCCTCAGGCACACTCGTCCATGGATGTCCCACCAAGAGAAGATATACGTACCTTTGAGCCTAAGAAAGATGATATACTTGTCAGAAGTACAGTATGTAGAATGGTGTGGATAGTTGTCAAAGCCACTTGTCTAGCACTTAGGGTTGGTAGTGCAAAGCTCTCTAACATCAGACAATCTACACATACATAGAGAGCTTCACTGAGAGCAGACCTGGGCAAACAAAAGGTAACAAGTAGAACCTATCCTTTACTCAACGTGGTGCTGTCCAATCAGGACTATGTTAAAGAAGATACTCTCTAGATCTCGCAACATACACTGAGCTATAGCTTGCCAGCGGATACACAAGGAATATGTATCTATGTATTGTGATTGAGTCTGTAGATCTAACCACGACTCCATTCAGTCTTGCCAAAGTAACTCTTTGCGGCGTATTATATACAGGTATAGTTATGCTGCAACCCAAATGCAAACCCAACCCAACACCAGTTCGCCATTGCAATGCTGATCAGTCTAATCCCGTCTAGTCTAGTAAAGCATCTCTCCGCCTCAGTCTTCCTTAGGGCCACTGCCACTACCACTGCCACTGCTACTGCTCTCACTCCAAATCACATTGTCGTCTGCAGGCCTCTGTCCCTCTCGTTGCACCATCCGCCATCTTCGCAGGTTGGATCGAGGATTGTCACCCGTCATGGTCGGCATGAGATCATCTTCTAGAATAGGAACCTCGCCCAACGGGTCCAGTTGGTCAATCATGTCCGAAATCTCCATAGGCGGCATAGACTTGAAGACAGCCTGAATGTCGCTGTGTGGCGATAGAGCTGTAAACTGCCACTTGGACCGTTTCCCAGAGGCACGTCTGGACTGCACCCACAACCGTCGTCGCTCGGACAAGCTGATCAGGAGTAGCGTCGGGAAGTTGAGCGTTCGGATGAGCGCCACGTTGATGATGTGGAACACTCGAGCTGTCGTGACGAGCTTCAGAGGAAGTAGCGTGGCCAGTGCAAGGATGTTGAATGGAGGAGGATAGGAAAAGATGGAATCACTCTTGACACCCTCAAATGTCAAGACAGCTCGTCGGAACTGAATCTCGGCCGTCTCATCCGCCACGATCTTGGAGAAGGTGTTGGTGAGCATAGCGATGAGAATCGTCAAGAAGAGCGTGTTTCCAAGGAATGCAAATGCGATCATGAGCGCTGGTCCAAGAACGATATGGAACCGCACCGACTCCTCAATGCCCTCGCCGTCGAGGCCGAACCAGATCCAGAGCATCCACTTGCCCACAACGTACCAGCTAAACTCCTCGTTGCCATCGTTACTGGCACTAACGAGCCACTGCAGAGCGAGAAGAAAGCCGGTGAAGCACCAGGTAGCTAGGAAGGTGAGCACAGTAAAGTCCTTCATCATGGCGTGGACAGAGATGAAGACGAGGTTGTTAGGTAGCAGGTTGAAAGCAACTCGCGTCAACATGACTGGCGCAGCGACGCAAAGAATCGGTAGACCATAACCCGAGTGAAGCTGATCAGCCAGGAAATCGTATAAGCGAGCGAGGAGGTAGGCGCCAAAGATGCAAGCAAACGTAATGTCGAGAAAAGCCCACAAGTTCTGCGCATGAACCTCCCAACCATGTTCAACAATAGCCGCCATCTTTTCGAGAAGCCAACCAGCCGTGTAAACGCAAAAAGCAAATTCCCACATGTTGACTTCCGAGTGCCGCGAGACCATAGTCATGACGTAGAGTGCCAGAAGAATGACGAAATGAACGAGTTCGATAAGATTTCTGTTGGAGGGAACAATAAGACGGTGGTGGTTGAGGAGAGGCGCCGTTCGGGGGTCGTAAAGAGAGATGGGGCGGCGCTTATAGTGATCCGGAAGAATATCCATGAATGACAGAGGCGTATAGATAATTTGACCGTTATGGACAGCGTCGACGGCTCGCTGACAGGCTGAAGAGCTGATGAAGAATTTGCTCTCAGAAACAATAGCAAGCTCTAGAGCAGTCACCTTTCTCTCAGAGCCGGCGCCGTCCTGAGAAGCCCCGGGCCACTGTGGACGACGTCCACGGCGTTCCATGTGCTCCGGAGCACCTTGGAAGGGATCAAATCCCTCCACAAGGATGTGGGCAAGTAGCAGAAGGCCCTGGGGTCCTGGGTTGTCTTCGTGAAAGCGTCGAAGGACTCGACTAGCGAGCAGCTCACACAAGATGGCCCGCGCCTGGTTGACGCTCTGATGAACCGTGTTGGACTGGTCTCGCAGAAATGAGACACGGTTGGCCAGTAGGCAATAAACTACGTGGCTCCATGTCAGGAAAGGATCTTGCAGACGAAGGATCTCACGTCAGGACTCACCGACTGAGATGTCGTCTGGGTTGTAGAGCCGCTCAACCAAGGGCCGCACAACGAGGGCGTTCATCTTGGGATCTCTAAAGTGCTCCATAGTGTAAGGATCATCTTGGCGAGGAATTAGCCATTGACTCTTGATTGTTGAACAACGAAAGCTTACCGATACTCGCAAGCACTAGCCGGCGCACTCTACACTCAAGGAGAGTTAGCACGCTGATTCCTCACCAGAGAAGCCTTCACCACGGCGCGAAATTGGGTGGATTCACCGATGAATTGTCATGTACACGGGGAGCGTGGCCGTGACCAAATCTAGCGTCGATCGATTGCCTTCATCAAGACATCCCTTTGCCTCGGCATCGTCAGCTCCAGCGAGGAAGCCGTCATCCTCCTCGTCGTCAGCAACCGGCCTAAGCCAGTCGTTGGAGCGCTCGGTACTTTGCCGAATCATGGTGGGAGGGTGGTCAGATCGATCTATAACTCCCGATCTGAATAAATTGAAGAGGTCCTATCTTGCGCTCTCTCTTTCCCCTCTCTCGTGGGTGTCAAATCTGAAACTGCTCCAAGACGTCGAAGATGCGAGGGGGAAAATGATTTAATGGGCGAGGTTCACGATGGGAGGCATGGCAGTGTGTAATTAGGCAAGTACCCCTGAATTCGGGGTCGATAGCGGCCAATCGGCGCGCTCAAGACCCCGAGAGACCCGCCCTGAGGTGCGCGTCCTTGGACCCTTTTGGGCCAAATATTGGACCTATCGTGGATCGCCTATCGTGGATACGATATGAGGGCCATATCTGGCAAAAAGGAGAAGTCATCTAGATGCTTCACGATGCATGATCTGGGTGTAGAAAGTTGACAACGGCACCGAATGCCTTCCTAAGGTTCACGCCTGGAGCCGTGTTGCATTGCGCTGCAGAGCCTGGAGGCTTGGCGGCCACTGATTGCCCCGAAAGCTTCCACGCCGAACCCCTGAGAGCCATTCGCAGCCCGCACTCAAATCGCAGATCGACAGCACTAAATCCAGGGTCCAGGGGGGACCTAGGGACTGGAGGCCTATAACATCTTTGCGCTCTGTCATCAGGTTAATAAACAGTTGTCAATTGTCATGTTCCGTTGCGACTATCCGAACCGAATGCCGTATGCGCATATCGGTGATAATGGGAAATGAGTTGGTGGCTGACTGGGATCATGTTTTAATTACCACCGTTGAGACGCATTTCGTCTGTGGCCTCACAATTTGCCCCGAACTGGCGGAATATGCCGCCGTCAGAGACTCCAGGCGTTTGTAGCTTGATTACCTACAGTCTGGATGGAATGGTCTAGGCCTCAAGGTCAGAAAAGGACCCCTGGACCTAGCTCCAGCCCTATGAATCTCTCCCTTTTCTGGATTGGATGCCGTTGCAGCTTGCGGAGTAGATAAACAGATAGATCGAATCCATTGGTGTATCCATGCTGATGGGCTTCTATCCGTCATCCGTGAAAGGCATCCTTCAGCGCACTCGGCATGATGGACGATGCCACTTGGCAAGCGTGAAACACGACAGAGTAAGACGAAGACAGAGGAGACCTCTGACATGCCACGCCAGCCACTGAGTAGGAAACAATAATCGCTCATCGACCACTTCTAAGCACAGGTATGGCTTGGCGCCGGCTCTCGACAAGATGTTGACTTAAAGTTTGGCGTCTCGGAGGCGCAACACCAGTGACAGGGGAGATTGGTGAATCCGAGTCGAGGACTTGATAGCTGAGAGGCACGTGCATCTTGGCGGATGTCGTAGAGGGGACTCCAGTGGGTCAGCTTTGAAGCTATCTTGGCTGGACCGGATGGGTCATGGATGGCATCGACTGAAATGGGCTGTCGAGGTATGCACAGGGCCCTGCAGGGCAATCGCAGGTCGCAGCGACAGTGGTCACTTGCATCATCAACGACAGATTTGGAGGGCTTGCCAGGGATCATTGACCGGCCCTTGGCGAGTGAGTACCTGGTGATACTTGGGATACTCGAGTGTAGGGGTGGTGGTTCACTCACCATACCCAGGAGCTATGCTTGATGCAGTTACAATATTGGACCTGAGGTTTGCTCGAGGTGAAGCTGCAATATTTCCCCCCTCAGTTCCGAGCTGCACCTGACCATCTCCAGAGGGTGACCCCAGGTCTTGGCCACGAATTAGAAGCTCAATATGGGGTAGCGAAACCTTGGCTTCAGGGCGTGGCGTCTTGGATGCGCGCTCAAGAAGTGGCAGTGCAAGGAGGGAGAGAAACAACCAGTGGTGGATATGGATGCCAAGAATGTGAACAGATACGAAGGCAAAACACATGCCGCAGGTTTAAGTCAAACGAGCATGCGTCACCTCGGCTGCGATGCATCAAAACGCCGCGGAACTCGGACGAGGGCTGCTGATTGACCAATGTAATGTGAAAGAGGACGACAACAGGCCAATGTCGAGCGAGCCTCAGGGCCTGTCCTGTTTCCATTCTCTGCCCAGAGTCCGGGGGAACAGGCGGCGGGGGTTCCGGGCGGCGGCTTGCCCTGCTGGGGGGTCTAGGAGCGATGGGCGACGAGGGTTTGACCTGCGGCTCGTTGCATTTGGAGCGGGATGGCTCTCCAAAAAGAGGATCCTCAAAAGAGGTCGAGCGCCACTGCGACGTAGTAGAATGACATGGCGGAATATGAGTCCGGTCGGACTGCCGGTGCAAGCCAGCTTACTTTTTGCGTGTCAAGTTGAGCGAGCGAGAGAGGTCAGAGTGCCATGACGCGTATGACGGTAGCCCAACAAGCTCGCCTCCGTGCATGCCGATGGGACGACTACCGCAAACCTGTTGGGGAAAGGTGATCAAGAATAGGACGGTTCGCCAGTCATCAACTGAAAATCCTTTGAGCTTGGGGAGACTTTGGGAGGGGGTAGCAGGGGATGGGATGAATGAGGCGCCCCCTGACTGATCAACTCAGGACAGTTCTGTAAACAGTCCAAAAGTAAGTGTGGCGTTTGTTTGGTGCTACTGTAACGTGCCGGTTGTCGATTATCATATGCCAATTCTCGGCCTCTGTTGGATGGAGGCTGTTTATTTTTTCATCAACTCAATCTTGGCCTCTACTGTACCCTTCAGGGGGTCTGGTTTTCCTGGCACAACAACCTCCGTCGGGTTCAGGTTTGCTGGCTCGTGTGCGCCCACCCCATGGAAAAGCCCTGCAGGCGGGCGCAGACCAGACCACATAATTCATTGCCCTTCGGTATTGGTAGCATAAGGTGCTGACGGCTGATTCTGATGGGGGGTTTCGGATGGAGCGGACGGAGGAGGAGGTTCTGCGTCAATGCTTCAGAGGCATTGCCTCCCGCTTGTCGTGGCACGCGCTCAGCACCAGTACCAGCACCAGCCTCATCCCAACGGCCGGTGATTCAACAAAGATCTTCTCGGCACCCGGTCGTCCAATCCCGCCCGTATATTGGTCGCATCTTATTGATCGCTGGACCAATCTTGCCTCCGGACGGACCGGACACGCTGGTCTGTCTGTCTGTACCTTGCTGTACACTTGTCGCCCCGATGACGACCTCAGTGCAAAGCCTGCAAAGCCCATCGAATGCCGTTGTCTCAGGCTCATAATTTGCAGGCCATAATTTTGCAGGCTCCATCTGTGACGCAATCCATCCGTGTCGAGCTCTGCAACCTCTGGGCTCTTTCTGCTGCTTCCCCAGCGGACCTAGCGTCACCAGCTTCCCTTCAGAGCTTCCCTGTAGCTACCATCCTGGCTAAGCCCGAACGGGAGTCCTGATCTGGGCGAGCCCGCTTGGCTCTGCCGCAGGATACATGATGGTACTCGCTGTCTTTTGGAGTAGCCAGGTACCTTAGCTACTCCACCTCGAGAGAAAATGGCCGAAAGGAAGGGATTGGGATCCTGTATTTAAAACCGAAGACCGAGAGATCAGAAGCCTTTTCTTGCAATCGTCCAACGGACCGGTGGATATGGAGAGGACGGACGGGACCTTGTACGAGGCTTGTAGTCACCAACAGATTTTGTCTTGGCTTCTTGGCCTTCAAGTTTGATCCCCCGTACTACCGTACCGTACCCAGGTACCGTGCCCTCAACTTGCCTTGCACACACACCTGTCATGGCAAAACAAGCGTCAAGCCGGGTCGTTGTGGCGTCGCCGCCTGAGTGCAGCCCCGCTGAAGAGCTCTCCAGGTTGTCCTCTCCGCACGGCGACTGGGTTTGGTTCCTAGGGGCAATGCGCCGCTCGAGCTTGTGAGTGACTCTGAGCCTCGGGTTCTTTTTTGCTGTAGTGGCCCTTTTGTTCTCGTCTTGTTTGCCGTTGGTAGTAAGAAAAAAGGGTCCTTCTTCGACGCCGCAGAGATGCTCCCGGACCTTGTCAACGAGAGACCTCTCTCCAAGGGTGTCGGCCGCCGCTGTTACAGGTCTCGTCGCATCACGGCTTTCCGTTGCTAGACGGGAGAAGGCCAAGGGAGCGTGCCCGCTGGCCAAGTAGGTACCTTTGTAGGGAAAAGTGGAGACGTTGAAGTATCTTTAGGTACCTGCCTACCTAGTGGAGGTGCTTTACTTTGGTGCTGCAGGCGCAGTCCATCCATGTTCTTGCTTTACTGCAACAGCTGCACTGCGCTTCTCCGCGCTTGGCTTCCACTTTGTTTGCCTTCCGTCGCCTGGCGTCGCTTCCTCCTCTTTCTTTCTTCCCGGCATCCATCACGTCCATTAATACACGCCTCCACCTATTTTGCTTTTCTCCATCCTCCTCCTTCTCTTTCCTTCTTCCTCGCACACTCGTGATACCCTCATCCTCCCTCTCCCGCCCTCTCCCGCCCGTCGCCATCGTCATTGCGAATCGCCTGTGCGCGCTCCTCTTTGCAATCAACTCTACTCTCGCCATCCTTAACTCTCTACCTCCGTCTCCTTCGGCTGCCCTGTAGCCACCCGCAATCAAGATGACTGACTGGACAACGGGCATCATGCCGCTGCACCATGTGCACAAGCCTCCATTCACCATCGAGGCTCCCGGCTACGAAAAGGTTCCCGGCGAGACCATCCCCCGACGACACCCTATGGCAAAGGACGGTCTCATCAGCTACCCAGCCGACGATGCTAGAACTGTCTTCCAGTTCATTCAGCGTAGTGCCAAACTCTACCCCAATCACCATGCTGTCGGCTCCCGCAAGCTCATCAACATGCATACCGAGAAGAAGAAGATCAAGAAGAACGTCGACGGCCAGGTCCAAGAGGTTGAGAAGGAGTGGTCCTACTTCGAACTAACCGGCTTCGAGTACTTGACCTACACGCAGTACTACGAGCGTGTCTTGCAGCTCGGCTCTGGCCTGCGCAAGCTGGGCCTGACCAGTGAGGACAAGCTTCACATTTTTGGTAGCACCAGGTATGTACTCACGAGCGCTTGCGTCCCGCGGTTCCAAACTTGCGCTTGCAGTTCCAGTCTCTAACGCGGCGTC